CTGGGACGCTGTCTTACCTTTTGTTACATTCGCTTACAACAACGCGACTACCGGTTTTTCCCCGTTCTTTCTGTTGTACGGCCGCGAACCATCCCACCCACTCGACACCATACTCCCGTACCGCCCTGATGCATCGGAGTGCTCCCCGCTTTCGGAAGTCGCCAGATACGCTGAAGACTTCCGTCAGTTGGCTCGGTCTATGACAAGTGAGGTTCAAGGTCTACAAAAAACCCGACATGATGACGCTCATCACATAGCGCCTACGTTTCGTACTGGCTCCCTCGTGTGGCTTTGGGTGCCCCCGCACGCTCCTGGCCTGTCTTCTGAACTTCTGGCCCGGTACCATGGTCCATACCGTGTCATTGACGCAACCTCGTCGGTGAATTACATCATCGAGCCCCTAACACAATCGCCAGATTTGCGCCGTCGAGGACGCGAGACCGTGCACGTCGACCGTCTCAAGCCCTACTACGACCCCCTCATTGTGCCTACTCCCTGAGTCGCCAGGATGGCTACTCTTCACCCCGAGGGGTATTGTAGTGGAGCATACGCACAAACGTGTATGCGCCTTCCAAGGAGAAGGAAAAACCCCGTGCTCTGATTGCACGAGAACCTGGGCCGCCTTTGCCAGCCATTTTTCGTTGCGACTTCTCCGGTTCAACAAACGTCATCACAATGCGTTCATTGGCACATATAAAATCCCTGATAGAGTCATGCATAAATAGTGCGAAAACCGCGCTTCTCCGAATTTTAACCTTATTACTTTGGCGACGAGCCATCATTGTGTCGTGGCTCTCGGGAAGGCAACGTGTTTCTATTGTATTTCTTAACAAGAAATGGGAGTGCGCAGTATTCTGACCATATCGATAGTAAGAGCTGCTTCAATATAACACAGTACGCTAAAATAACCCGCAATGCCGGCTTAGCATCGGCACGAAACTTGTAAAACCACATTAACTTTCCAGAGGAAATGCTTGTGGCGCCATCACTCGGAGGCAACATCATGTGCCTTAGGCGGCACATGCGTCTGAGCCAAGTACCTCCATTCTAGTCTACCGATGGAGGCGGAAATGTTGTAGGCCCGTGTGCTCAGATTTGGGTGCACGTTAAAGAACCCCAGGTGGTCAAAATTTCCGGAGCCCTCCACTACGGCGTCTCTCATAATCATATGGTGGTTTTGGGACGTTAAACCCCACATATCAATCAATCAATCCATTCTAGTCTACTGTAGTGCAAAGTGTACACTGAAATTTTATTATAACAAAGTTGTATTTTGCATGAAAATGAGTTCATTATATCTGAAAGTTCATTATAAAGGTATATTAATAACACTGTTTCTTCAGCAAGACTTCGTTTACTTCATTATAACCGATATTTCATTATATCCAAGTTTGTTAAATTGAGGTTAGAAAGTAATTCCAACAAAGACTGATAATTTATTGTGTGATGTTTTCTCACTGCTCACTTCACATTCGAGCGATCACCAACGCAAATGTGAATCTGCTCACTGCTACCGCCACTCCAGTGGAAGATGGCCCCTGTGGACAAACCTGAATACTCTGGTCATGGGAACGAGGCTCTCATCATCAGCACCACCATTCTACACGTGGCTTGCCATGGCCATCGAGTTCATCTCCTTAAAGGTCTGGTGTTTGCAAGTACACCTGCCCTCTTAGCAGGTTCATGATTTGTACCAGTGGTGTAAGTCCAGAAAAAATCACCTTGTGATGGTGGTTATTTAGCAGTTATAAATACGTTTTGTATTTAATTATGTAAGAAAATGAAATTATGCTTTCCAATAAAACTAAACGCAAATGAGCGTGAGCAGCCAATAGTATAAGCGTACATTGCATGGCTAAGTTGGTTGCTAAGTATAACTTGTCGGCATGCTCTTGCATATTTCCAGCTATGCCATTCAGGCTCAACCGTGCAATAAAAGTACCAGTACTATTTTCATAGTACCGCATAAAGGTACAGTTTTGTTCGCGAAATGGTTAGCAACGTCAAGCTCCAGTTTCTCCATTGCGTATACAGTTAAACATGCTTACAATGAACCTCCGTATAACGAAGTTCCTCGATATAACAAAGCTTTTCTATTCCCCGTCGTTACTGCCATAGAAGCACATGTACCTGCGACCTCTATGTAACAAAGTAACAGCCGGAGAGGTCCATGACGAATTTCCGCCACGGACAGTCCAGAAGCTTTGCCCCGGATTCTGTCATTTTGGCCCGAGCGCGTGCATGCATCTTCCGCGGTTGCGCCGGCGGCGCGCCCGTAGCTCCGGCGACTTCCAGGCGACAGCGAGCTCGAGGCGGGCAGGCACGCCTGTACCTCACGAGCCGGCGTTGCCGCCGTTATTGCCGCCACGGGCGCATGCACGGATGTACCCTCCCTCTCCCTCAAAAAAAAAAAAAAAAAAAAAAAGAAGAGGAAACTACAGTTGGGGTCAGATATGTGCGGCCGCGCAAGCACATTGTAACTGTAGCCGCGCTGCATATGGGGGGCGTTTTATCGAGTAGTTTTCCGTGCTACGAGTGTCGTCCACTCTTTGTTTTTGATGCCGTGCGCGCATTATTAACACCCAACGACGTTTAGCCTTGCTTTTTTTTTTTCTTTTTTTAATGCGGACAAAAGTGTCGTCCCCACCGAGGGGATGGCAGACTAGGCGCTGACGGAGACTCTCGGAGAGGACGACGGATCTTCGGAGGTCGACTCGTAGCGCGCCGCGAGTTCACGGGACCGTAGCCTTCGCGATGCGCCAGTTAACTCAAGCAACAACACGACGGCGCGTGGAATGCAATGCAATGAATACGTTAGCAACAAATTGTTATGTAATACCTGTGTCACACGGGCGCGCAAAAAGTATTTTAAGTAAGCGGTCTTTTACGAAGCTGAAAGACTTTTAACAAAGAGGTGTTTGCGGTGCAGACACACGGCAGCAGCGATCTCCTTTTAGTGTTTTCGTTCGAAGACGCTAGCGAAAGCGTGGCGCTAGCAGTTAAAAGAGAAGCAATGAAAATAAACGATGTATCACAATGTACAAATTAAAGACTTGTTGCACTGATCGTTTCTTCAAATAAATTTAGGAATAAGAGATGAAGAAACACCAATGTGAAAGTTTTTTGCACTAGATAAGGAAGCATTCCCATAACTAGCGACGTGCACAAGTCCGTCTGGCACCACTGTGCTTTTATTTACCGTATTTGTTTTTCGCTGCTCTCGACTGCTCTCGACACGTTATGGGCGACCGTACGGGAGAAAAAGCGAGGATCGCAAGCCTCACGGCCTGCCTTCTCGCTCTGGAAAGCGAGGCAGACGCTGCAAAAGCCACCAAGGAGAGGATAAAGCAGCGCAAGACCGAGCGTCACCACGTAATAATGCCGACGCGTTGTAGCTGCTTACGAGAGTAGAAAAGGAAATAACCATTAAAAGAGTTCATTACACCTTCTGCAGGATATGAAATTTGTTTTTACAAGAGTTTTGGTGACAGAAAAATAAGCATTCGCTCTTTTTTCCCTCCACTCGAAAATTGCTGGCGCCCACTGGTTTCGAGGCTACTCATTCGGGGCCGTAAAGGAGATCGACGAACGCCGTTTACGAAAAAGACCGCTTCTGAAAAGGAGTTCGCTCTGTGCCGTGTGTCTGCTGTCAGAAACTCCTTTTCGGAAAAAGACCGCTTACTTAAAAGACTTTTAAGTGCCTGTGTGACAGAGGTATTATACGAAGTAATGGCTGGCAGCCGACTCTTTTGGAGCGGATATCGCGGAACTCCTACAAAAATCTTGTGTAAGCAAGTTCGGCCGCTCCAGAGAGAAGTGCTCTTTTTTTCACAGTCTCTTCGTAAGAGTTACGATGTGCGGGGACAATTAATCAGTCCGGACTTGTTAGGAACATGGCGGCGACAAGAAATGCAAATATGACATTTGAAAGACTAATCTCAAGGATTTACACATGAAAATACCCCCCCCCCCCCCCACTTCCAGCATGAACACAAGGGGCTCAGACCATCCAACCTTCCTATGATTTGCGCCAATGATTTGATTGATTGATGTGTGGGGTTTAACGTCCCGAAACCACCATATGATTATGAGAGACGCCGTAGTGGAGGGCTCCGGAAATTTTGACCACCTGGGGTTCTTTAACATGCGCCCAAATCTGAGCACACGGGCCTACAACATTTGCGCCAATGATTTGTACAAATCATTTTGCCCCTAACGTTGTTAAATATTTTTACTGCATATATTACTGCAATGTGTCGCTATTGCATTCGCTACTTGACCTTTCTAGTAAAACTGATTTTTTTTAACGTAAACATTTGTAATCGCTTTGTCGAGAAGTCACATCACGTGTAGCTGCCTTAAAATTTCTTGGACAAATTCTAGCAACAGCTGATGAAACAAAGAACCATGAAGCAACACGAACGCTTGCCAAGTGTTTCAGAATCGTGTGTGCATGTGCGCCAATATTGTCTGGTCCACTGAACAACACATTTGAAAGATTGTGGCTTATGTTGTCAGAGCTTACTGTATGGCTCTTGCACGTGTAGTGCACATATTAGAAGGCAACCTATAACTGCATCGCATGATGGATTACATCTTGCACTTTGTGCGTGTGCACTGTGATAAATGGAAGTATACATCCTGCTGTCCGACTTGCGAGGATTTGTATATGCACCACAAGGAAATAACCTGCTCTAATATGTGTGACTTGAGTATCGTGATCCATCAGGAAATATTACTTGGAAAAAGCAGTTCAACTATCTCACGGCACATTTTCTTTAACGTTCAGAGTGAAGGCTCCAAAGTTTTTATTTTATACTTCCAGGTACTGAAGTAGCGTCGTACGCATAACGCATGTTACTAATTCCTTTGATACCACTTCAATGTATGAATGACTAACTGTCGATCAATGTATTAATGGCTAACTGTCGATGACGCCTGAAAAGCAGGTTTTTCCTTGCACACACAAGCGACGCAGTGAAGCACACCTGAGACGTTCGTAGAGGAGTCGTGTTTTATTTTCTCTCTAGTATGGTACACGGTTTGACCTCCGTCCACACCGGTCTGTACAAAACGGTCTCTTTTCCCATTCCGATTGAGGAGGAGGGGGTGCAAGGAGGGCGGAGCAAATGTGTAGTGGTGGTGGTGGTAAACAGGGGTGGGTATATAGTGGCGGTGGGACGACACACAGCGCTAACATATATCACAAGTGGTCGAGAGACGAATGAACAAAAAAAAACAAAAAAAGTCCGCGGGGCAACGAAGGACGTGCATATTATGTGACGCTACGCGACGCAGGAAGCCCGTTATTGCGTGGCGCCATCTGTCGCGTGGCGCTGGCAGTCTCCCTTTTTTCCTCCTCCTTTGGGGTTCCGTTCTTAACCGTATCGCGAAACAAAGAGCACCGAACAACATTAGGCGCGAACACCATGTGCATGTAATAACTGTGCGGCGATTGAAAGGATCCACACGCCCTCCTCACCCGATCTATTGCAGTCATGCCCTCATATCGAACACGAGTTACCGCACCAGCTCCCTTAAGGGAACCAGGCGCGGCGAGCGCCATCTACAGCGGATCGCGGGCAATCCTAAATTCGCCTGCTCAGAAGCCTCAGAGATGCGCAGCACGGAAGACTGTCACTGTCGCACAACTTTTCTCATTTTGCGGTGAGCTGAAGTCAGGGTGCGTTCACTACTTCAATAAATTTCCCCGTTCCCCAACGCCCTCTATCCCCAGACTAGGTCCGGCGTCACACTGCCTTCGCTGGCGATGCACTTGTTCGATTATGCACTTCTGATAAAGACTAATTATCCGTTTTGTTCCTTTCACGCACAGTAGCTCATCAACACTCGAATAATACGCAAGATCTATGTCATGTACACACGATCAAGCAGCGAAGAAAAAAAAAAAAAACTGACGACGCGACCACGAAAGAGAGGCTCAACTATACAACAGAAGTGAGCAAGAGAGATTAAGAAGACAAAACGAGGAGGTCATTTCGAACATCCCTACGTTGAGAAACGCACAACGCGTGCGGTAGAATGCTACACGAACCGTATATCTTCACCGAAAATGCCGCTCTCTCGGTTTTAAATTAACATAATAAGTGCCGGGTGCACACACACACACACACATGGGCGAGCAAAAAAAAAAAAATACAGGAACTGGGAATGAGATGGCACACGTAACGTGATGGTTGCGCGTTTCCGAAGACCACGTTTCTTTTTTTTTTTTTAATTCCCCAGCAGAGCTCGCACGACGTCCATCTTATCTTTCCGGTCAACGTCGCACGCAACTCTTGGCAGCGCTGCTCGCTTTTTGCTTGTTCTCACTCGCGTTTGTTTATTCTTGGAATGGGTGGGTGCGGCCAGCGCGCAACTAGCAGACGCCCACGCATAGCAGACGAAAGAAAGGAAAACGCCCCGGCGCGCGCATGGCCGACACCGCCGCTGTCGGCTAGTTTCGCATCTTGCCTAAAGATCCTTACATTAGCTCTCAGTATACATAGCCGGGAATAAAAAAAAAATAAAAATCGGAGTTTCGGAACACGGGGCTCGTAAAACCCACTAGAGAAAAAAAAAAAAATAAACGAGGGTATGTGCGAGCGTTAACATGTTGGGATGAAAAAAGATTGCAACTTTTGTATTCGAATACGCAAAACGCGCCTCGTAATAACGTCACGAACCGTTAAAACAGCTCCGAGACCACACGGGAAAGAAAAAAAAAAGTGCGAGAAAATATGGAGGAAAAAAAATTGAGAGGAGGACGAGAGAGGAAAAAAAAATTGAATTCACCGCTAACGAGAGAAACAGTGCACTACTACAAGTTTCTGAGGTCACACAATTCACTAACGAAGATGGTTTTTTGTTTGTCTTCTTCTCTCCCGCACGGCTGGAGTCTTCTCACAATCGCCCAAAAAAACAACAGTTCGTGCAAAAGGCGTAAGGGGGCGGGCGGGCGCGCACCATTTCTTTTTGTTTGTTTCGTTGGCTTTGATTTTTTTCGCCCCCATTCGGCCTAGTTCTTCTTCTTGTGAACTTCGGGGGCGACTGTTGAGGGGGGTGAGCAAGGGTGGGAAAGAAATGGGAGGGGAAAAAAAGAAGAAACACAAAAATAAAACACCAAAACCAAAGAAACAAAAATCTATACAAACTCAAAACTGCTAAAAGCAAGTGAACTGCATGCGCAACAGAGAGAGAAGGAAGGGAAAAAAAAAGTGAAGTCGGCAAAATGAGGAAAAAGAAGTTCAGTGCAGACAGAGTAACTTTTCCTTTCGGGTAAATGCTACCTTGTCGCACACCGCGGTGTATCATTCCACGGGGCTTGATACATGGTCTGAGAGCGCGTCTAGCAATTCATTGTTTCTATCTTTTTTTTTTCTTTTCGGCGCGACGCTCCGACCACAAACAACAGAAACAAGCGCCAACTTTCAGCTAAAGTTGAACGCGGTCAGGACAAATTAAATCAGAACACGAAGAAAACTGTCAACAACTTGGAAACGCCGGTACGTGTTTATATTACTGATAATTAGCGCTTTTTCAGCTGACATCAAGTTTCCATTTTTTTAAAGACTTACCACGACAGCGAGGTCACACGTTCAACTATATAAGCGCAATTGTGCGTGTCGTGTCTTGTTCTACTGCAGTAGCTACAAGAGGAAAAAAAAAAAAAACCCGCTCTAAAAAATTAAGTTTAACCTTGTCCAAAACCAAAGAAACAAGGTCACTTGCCTGCCTGGCGCTTTACAACTCGATCGGCTCCGCAAACCGATATGAAGCGCGTATCTACGGCGCATGTATTATTCAGCGTGGAGTCGCCGACGGCATCGCAGGCTCATCCATCATGCGCGACGACTAGTGAAAGCTCTCCTGTAGGAGTACACGCGTATCACACGTACGGTGGCGACAGCCGCTCTCCGTATAGCGCCGACGTCAGCTCACGGCACGTCGTTTAAAACACGCGACAAAAAGATGTCGCTCGCGCCAGCTGCGCGTACGAAATATGGTTCGCGTTTATCTTCACGCACTTTGCGGGTGAGTTGCGTGCAGGCGCCGAACAATTCAAGAGTTTAAACCCGTAAATCAAAGTAGCTTATGCATTACGAATATAGTTAGATACACAGTATCACACACACACACAAATATACATATTCTTCAACTCACGCCCATCTGTGTTGAGCCTTAATTATAAAAATCGCGAATTCGCCCTGAATTCATTACTTGCTTTAGACGGTGCCGGCGAAAGGGCAGGCGCACATGCGAATCGTGACATGTTGGCTGCTCAACGCGTGCGTTCCAATTTCCCAAACGAATGCGTTTCAGTCTTCAAATCAGCATGGCGGATCCGCGGCACAGTTGCGCAGCTAGCCTGGGCGGACAACGTATCGTGCAAGCACAAATAGTTACCGTGAGACACTCCGCGCTTTCAAACAGCCGCGAGTCATCCGCAGTTCCGGCAACTCTGGTGCGAGGTTCCTCCGCAACGCGGCGGCACCTTACCATTTAAAACGTCAGCTACCGTATGTAGCAGCGGTTGGAGCCTACACCTACTTGCCGCGTTCGCTTCGCACTGACGTAAGCTTGATTCGTCGTAAAATCGCGAGTATCTGCAGTTTGCCTGTCGAGCAGAGAAAAAAAAAAAAAAAAGCAACGTACCTTGGCTATCGCAGTTTGAAGTCGACTAGCTAGCACTTCGTTGCTGCGCTGCGTAGCGCACCGCTATCGCGATCGCCACTAGCACCGTTCGTCGCGCGCGGTTGCTCATGCGGGCGCCTGCACGAGTGCGTAACTCACTTTGTACGTGTATAACCGTCGAAGGCAACACCGCTCGTCTTACCTTTCTTTAGCAGCAGCAACAACACGGCCGTTGAGACCCGCACGTTTGCTATATAAGGGTTACACAGAACCACCCGATAATAATAACGTTCTCGGAGAAAGCGAATCATTCGTTATAACGAACACGCGAAATCCACCGTTACTCTCGTGTAACGACTGTCCCTCAACGAATTGCGATTCGCGAGAGTTGCCTCTGCATTGGGTCTGTTCAGTTTTCGCATAGACTCGCGTGAAAACGGTTCCCTACATTCCCTACAATGGCAGTGATGTTCTTTGTGCCTCTAAGAAACAGTGCAAGACAGTGACGACAGTGCTGCATCACACTGAAATAAGTCTTGTTCCTCAACTACTTCATCCTTTCTTCTGTTTAGGTTGATAGCATTCACAAATAACAAAGGTTCGGTATTGACAAGCTTGGTTATATCGAATTTTAGCATAAAAGTCCATTATAATCAGGTTCAACTGAACAAACTACAAGGCATGTTAATTGCAGCTAAGTTGCAGCCCACTCTCTTATACAACAGAAACCTTGAAATCACTAAAATATGCAGTTACCATAGTTAACAATGTGTGCTCAAATTTTACAACTTCATAAAACTGCAACAGGCTGCAAGGGATACAACCTCACCATGGTTAACATGCCTTTGCAACCTATGCGTACTCGAGGGTTCTACAATATGAACCGTTGGCCCTGGCTACTTTTCGTTCCGAGTTTCTCTTTAAAAGTCAGCATGCAACAGTATTGAGTGGGCTACCCTCAACATTCAGCAATCAACATGTGACAACTGCTAGCTGGACATGAGGAAGGCACCAAGTTCTTTACTAAAGCTACAGCTCTGCCTGCACCATCATTGTGGCTCCATGCATCCATAAAAACCCAGACGACAAATGAAATATTCAGTTATTGCATAGTGATGCTAGTTTGACAGGCCCCTATCAAAGACAAATCTTTAGAATTGTCATCACATTGATGGGTAGCCCACACAAGCTGTATGTGGCCTCTCATTAAAAGCAGCCTAAAGACTATAAACAAGTGCAGAAACAGCACAGCACAAACAACTCTGGAAGTCGAGGGACAGATTGGCCAGTGTTGAGAGGGAAAGTATAGGGGAAGTGTAGGGTGCCAAGATTCTTAAAAGGGCAAACTGGGATAAACTCTCGGCTGTACCTGGATCGGTCATGCATTTCTTCCTCGGAGGAAGGCATAGCAGGACGTGTGCGATATGCACTCTGATCGGATGCTGTTAGAACAAATGGGCAAAAAAACCAGAACCACCCAGGTGATTCACGAGCAGCTGTCAAGGCACACCACCCACAAGGTTCTGGCAACTACTTACTTCTCGACCAACGTTGCCGACGAAAGAAGGCCACTTTTGCGAGAGAAGTGTACCCTCCACAATGGAAAGCTTATGCATCTCACTCAAAGAAAATAACTACAACTAATGAATATGTCCTTTTAAGAGGCACATTATTTACACTACAAGAGTTAAGGCATAGTCTTATTATCATCATGAAACATTTCAAGAAAGTGCTCGACCAAGATCAGCTAGGAAATATTAGGCACGATTCAGGCAGCCATCGAATTTTCCATGTTACCATCACAGCAGCAGTGTCCATGGGTCAGTATTTTCTTGCGTCAATAGATGAAAATTTGTAAAACGCAAGGACTGCTTATATGCTCTCACACATTTATTACAAATTCTACGTAACCAGCAACAAAGGTCAATCGTTCGTTAAAATTTAGCCTAAGCCGGGAACAATCATATTGCACTTCGGTCCTCCTTTCACTAGATGCACAAGCTTTCACAGCAATATGGAGTTTAGCAGGCTTTTAGTACGTGCATCGCAATTAATGTTAACGCAAACTTCGCAGCTTTGTCGGCCACGGCATTTGGTCGAAAAGAAGCTGCTGCCACGTGCCACTGAAAAGCATTACTACATCAAGCGCACACAAGTTCACCACATGCACCAGCAAATGCCACGTTAGTACTTCCCACAAAATGCAAGCAATCTTAACGATAAAAAATATACTGCACAAGACAGGCAAAAAACAATGCATTACATCAGGCAACACTGCTAAAATCTGCTTGAATTACACATAAGCCGCTACCCAACCCCCAAACCACCTATGCAAGTTTTCGCAACGTGGAAGCCATGAAGAACTATATCAGTTGTTCGAAAAATGGCACAAGGTGTTGTAGAGCAGGAGCTATATACCGTATTTACTCGCGTAATGAACTCACTTGCATAATGAACCTACCCCCCACCTTGGTCCTTGAAAAAAGGGGAAAAAAAAAATTAATGTATCTGTTCATTCTATTTCGGTATGATAGCCAGTGGCGTTGACGATCGAAACAATAAAAGTCAAAACATAGCTTTACAACCATGCTAAACAGTTGCGAACAGCGCGAGCGCGGACGACATCAATCAAAATTTGAAAGTCGCGCCTTTTGGGGAAGAGCGCCATCTGTCGAATGCAGGAGAAACCTCTTCCCTGATAGCGCCACACAAGCACAGCGGCACAAAAACAAAGACACGGCTGGTCACAAACAGCATGCACTGGAGAGCGTTGGAACCGAGCGGTCGGACGACACTTTGGCGTCGATCCGTTCGCTTTCGTTACGGGAGTAAACAAAAAGAGCTTCGCGCCACAAAAAGTCGCTCATTTCACGGGCCAAAACAGGCAAAGTCGTCACGCGAAATTTTCGCTGCTGTGATTCCCTCAAGTTTTTCTCCCGCGTAATAAACGTTTGCCCCGAATTGGCGTCAACTTTTCTAAAAAAATAATTGGGTTCGTTACCCGAGTAAATATGGTACTTTGTACAATTTATTACTTGCAGTAAAGGTGATTAAAGGGCCCTGCAACACTTTCTCAGTATGAGTGGAAAATTCTGCTGATCGGTAGTCTAGGCTAGTGAAAAATGTGCAAGTCCAACACTATAGTGTAGCACGCGGCCTGAAATTGACAGTTCTACAAGTCGGCTAGAAATCGTTCGTTTTTTTTTCTACAAATGATGCCACATACCCAAATGAACAAACTCGCTATATACCCATATTTACAGCCATTGGCTCATTTGAGCATTGCGAGCTGCATAGTTACTTTGGTCCCTGCATGATGGCACCACAAGCCCGCTCTAGGGATCACACTAACAGCAAGCACATGTTCGAAGTAAATAGAACCTCAAGCTCATGACGTGCACTTCACGTAACTTCTTTGCACTGTGCCGACCCTTCTTGCTTAGCTTCCAGTGCACTCATTGCAACGAGAAAGCAATTACAGCGTGCCACAAATTTCAACTTTGCTCATACTTGATGGATTCCAAAAATTTTTGCAGTGGTCGATTGTAGAGGCAATCAACACCTTTCATGAAGACATAAATTCAGTGGTTACTTGGAAAAGTGCTGCAGGGCCCCTTTAGAGCATAAGGTTTTGCATGTAGCTTCATTTTTACAAGCACTTCAGAATCCCAAGAACTACTTTCCAATATTTTTTTGCATAAGACCGAACACGTTTGCACGTTACTAAGAAGATGCATTTATGACTACACATGTATAACTTGAAGCCAGCAATCACTTCAGAAAAGTGCTGCAACCTGAACTAAAATTCACCAAAATTTAACACAAGTGAAAAAAGCACATTTAGACAACACTAGCTGCAAGCATATGGCTTCGTTGTCATGGCTACCATGTTCCGTAAACTTTTGAAAGAACTCGGACAACGGAATGAAATAAGCAAACAAACATTCCTCATGCATGAAATTATTACAGTTCAAGAACTCCTAGATCAGTGTGTTGGGAGCATGCGTTTTCCAATACTCCTGCTTGGCACCTGCCCCAGCGCTCCAGTACTCACCTTTGTCAGCCCTAATATGTCGAAGCATACTGCTACTCCTCAACTTACTAATTTTTAATGCAACCAATCTGAGCTAACCATCACTGCATACATTCACGACATATCCCTACCAACATGCTGATATAATTGACATTCTAGTTCCAATAAATGTAAATTTAGGTAAAGTCTGTGCACAGCCAAATCCCACCACATCGAAATCCAAGGTAACACAGCAAGGACATTAAAGAACCTGTAAGTTCTTCACGTCATGTGATGTCACATAATAAAAAGACACTACCAAAGCAAATTACAACAATGCATCCCCTCACTGCATTTTAGCCCAATATATATACAGGCTGTCTATATACCGGCAGTCAATACTCATTTCTGTGGATAAAGTGTGTTAGTTTGTTTCCATTTTTCGCATCACGCACTCATACTTTTTTATTTAGACAGTTTAGATGTGAAGCTGAGAGATTTTTTTGCTCCTAACTGCCTGAACTTTATATGAGTGGGATTTAACTGTAGCACATTGCTACGTTTCGTCCTCGTAATGTACCGTATTTACATGATTGTAGGTTGACCAATTTTTTCAGTTTTGACAATCCAATTTTGGGGTTCAACCTAGAATCAATCACGAGTTTTGGTTGTGAAATCTTTCTTAAAACAATCTCGCCGTATTTCCGCAAAGCTAGCTTTCCTGCGCAGCTTTCAAGTACTGCCGTGAAGCCACCTTCGCACATCGGTAACTTTACGATGAGCTAAAATATTTTTTTTATAGTAGAATGTGCTCGTGCTCCTCTCTCTCTTTTTTTAATGCTGTGCCATCTTTGGGGGGTTGACATACATTCGAGTCAACTTACAATCGTAAAATGCGGTCGCAAATGAAGGTCTTGCATCACATTTCTGTATGCTATATATATCAAGTAGTAAGCTGCCCTTAAGCTACAGACAATGTTTTGGGTAACAGTTCACGAAATTACGCATGCCCACTTCAATCAGTAATAAGTAACGTGGTCTTTGGGCACTAACACTAAGTTACTACGCTGCATGCACTCACACACAGACCCACATATACAGAGAAAACAAAAGGAGTAAATTGAAGGGAAGACCAGAAATGAGGCAGAAAAAAAAAAAAAAACCCCAAAGCAATGCCCAGAGAGTGGAATAGCCCGGAAGACGCCATGCCACAACAGCATGCAGTCAACAACAGTGCCAAGAACCATTTCCCCTCACAACTGGCAATAAGACCACAACACACACGCACTTTGTCAAGAGGCACTAAAACAATGCCGACTGCACACCTGTCCACACAGACCCTTTGCTGGCGTGAGGCTAGCCAAACTATGCGAGGATCAAGTCTGCCCACACTGTTTTTTTAACAGCAAGCGTCCCACAGAAAAAGAAAGTCAACAAAGACAACAAGAGGGTGAGGAAAAGTACTTCTTTTTTCTTCTTCAGCTCAGTTTTATTCATGACACTTGACTCCTCTCTTCAAGCCCGCCCATTCACTTCTTCCCCCACTCTGTTGTGTCATTACAAAAAAAGAAAGCACTCCACACAGTGTCTCTGCATCTGCGGCACTTTCACAAAAACAAAGATAAAAAAAATCCGACAAACAGCGAGGTTGACGAAACAAGACTCGGCGCAGCCGCTACACGATGCCACAAAGCGAAGACAAGACCAACGAAAAAGAGCTGACTGCTTCTTGACAATGCGGCACACAGAACAAACACTTCTGTACACAAACGCTGCCACCACTTCCCGTCCTTTCCAATCACGACAGCAGCAGCAGCACCAGCGATCAACAATGGAAAAAACCGACGCACGATCTCGGAATCCGTTAGACTCAACAAATAAACGTAGCCAACCAGAGCGCGGAAAAGCCGTCTCGCTGCAAACAATCAAACGGTGACTGCCATCAAGACCAGATCACTCTACAACCTGACGCACGGCCTAAGATTTTCCTCCTGTCTTCGTCGCGCAACTACAGTCAGAGAAAATAAACTTAAAGAAACAGGAGACTAATGAGCCCAGGATAAAACCACACAAATCTTGCAGCAAAACGCACAGCTAGGATATGCAGGTTAGCGCAGAGAGAGAAAGAGATGGCTGTGACAGTGTACATACTGGCCTCTGAAACAAGCAATGACCAGCATCTGTCGGCTATTTACAAGGCAAGCCGGACAACAAGGGACAAATCCGTAGCCCATGTTGCGACCTCAAAGGCAATCCACCTGACCGCTGAATCTGAAAATGAAGTTTCCTGCGCTGCCTAGATAGCGTTTCAAGACTCACTTTAAGGCTAGCCACTAGGACACAGATAGAATGCTCCGGAGTGAGAGAGAGATGAAAAAAGACAACGAAAGACTGTATGCCGCATGAGCGGCAGCATCGCTCCCCTCCTCCCTGGAAGTGTTCTGTCGCACAAACAACTGCCAACCAACTTGTGCTATGAACGAGACCAGTCACACCAGTAGCGAGGCCCCTCGTCATCCAGCCGATTTCAGGTGGCAGCTGCACAGCCATGGAGAGCACACATTGTTTCGGAGCGCACATTTAACACAAGTTCCTAGCGCAATGAGCGCATGATGCTTAAATTGCATCGACACGAGGCAAATGCATTTTAGGGTGTTGCCGATTCCCGAACATTAGGAAACACAGCTCCTAAACAAAAAAAAATACGGAAATGCCCGTTTTGCAGAATGACATTGCAGCTGCCACCAGAAGGGTGGGATCACAACACACGATGGGCACTTGCCAAGACATTCGGTAGTACGAGGAAGGGAAGCATTCAAAACCGTCAACTAAGAGGAAAAAAAAACGAGCACGAGGGAAAGAGAATAGGCGGGAAAGGTCAGTTCAGAGATGGTAGTCTGGCTGAGGAGCGGCAGCAGCAGTCCCAAATGCATCACAGGGAGAGCAAGGAGAAATCAAGGTATTCAATGAAGTTCATGAGGGGTGGGAGAGAGCAAGAGGAAATTAAGTGATCAGAACCACAACAATCCAGCTGGAGGCGTTCCGAGGGGAAAAAAGGAGGATAGGGTGGTGGTATAGATGGGAGAGCAGTTAAGGAGGGAGAGAGAAAAAGAAAGGCCGGGCCCTTTCCTCCTCCCTCCAGTCTGCGACGAGAAGGAGTTTATTTTTGCTCAGATTGGGCAGCAGAGGACAATGGCCAGGAATCCCACCCAGGTGCCCATCAGGATGGAGAGTTCAAAGTAATACTGTGTACCATCGATGAACTTGCGGGCGATGAACTTCATCGTCTCGTCGAGGATGATGACCGGAATGGACATCTTGAGGACAGCAAACCACTCGGCCACAGACAGCGGGCACACCGAGAACACCGTCTGCACAACCAGAGGGAAAGCATTGGTCAGTAAAAATGGCTGCACATACAGTTCATAGCGAGAGTGGCAAACGAAAAAGTTGCGCACACTGGCCAACTGCACTTGGCTATAGCTTATGACTATGCTGAGCAGCGCAAAAGGAGTCAATCAATATTTAAAAGTCACGCCTTTGGCGACAGAGCAGCATCTGTCGAACACAGAAAAAGCCTCTTTGCTTATAGCACCATGCAAGCACAGTGGCGCGAAAACAATGCGAATGACGTGCACCCACAACGTGCGGTGCTGCATTTTTGTTGCGTTTGTCGCAGTAAACTTCGATGAACACCTGCTGCACAAAGCACGATCAGTCGTTACGCTAGCTACACAGCCAGTTTTAAACCTAAAGTTGTTCAAGCACATGTTAGAGCATGGGAACCAAGCGGATGAACAACACGTCAGCAAACAAGAGTTTTGGGCTACAAACAAAGGTTCGTCGCGCATTTCACAGCCCAAAACAAGGAGGACAAGTTCCTCTTGTCGAGAGCAACGTTCTCATTCAGAAGCTCTGTAGTCCTGCCACTGAATTGAAGGCCAGCAGCAGTTGCACGAGTTTCTCAATACTGTCATGCAAAACGCTTGCTGTTATAACTACGGTGACTTTTTCGCTCCCACACAATCAACACTCTCCCCGAATTGGTGTCAACTTTTCTGAAGAACGAGTGGATTCATTGAGCAAAAAATATGGTAATTACAGTCACTTGTACTGCAATAAATTAAATTCCTTCAAAGCCAGATACCACCGGGCACATGAAATGCAACACGAAACAATATACGAGATATAACGTGCATGCATTTCTTGCGCACCAATGTCGGTAATTTACTCACACATTTTAAAAGAAATGTCACAGGCCGGTCTTCCGATTACATTGCTATGGTGTGAAATGATTCACACAGCTGAACCCCTTTATAAGAGGCATGCTCCGGGCAGAAATTCTTGTCTTTTATATGAGATGTCTCTTATGAGTAAGGTATCTCATACGCATTTTCTTATCACGCCGTATTTTACTGTAGGCACACTGGTGTCTGTTATACCCTTTTGTCTCTTACATCAGGGTCTCTTATAGAGGGGTTCGACTGTAATTACTTTGTTGCGCCAAAATGCAAGCATACAGCATGATGCAACTACTAAGTGGATCTGAACCTAAACCTCTCCGCAATTTGCCTTTGCTGCCAACAATCAATTGATAAAACACTTATCTTTCATTAAATGAAAAAAAAAAAAAAAGTCTGGATACATCTAAACATGAGCTTTTGTTGATACATATATATATTGCTGCCTTGTGAATATTGAGCATTTTTTTTTTTTTTCAGACGTTTAATCAGCATTTAGAATATACTTGTGCAATAAAAGGCCATGCATACAATTAAACAGCGTTACTTCCCAGTTAAACTCTGGCACACAGCAATGTAGGAGAGGGCACACGACTCACGTTGAGGATGTCGCAGTACAGCACAACGAAGTGAAGTGTCATGGAAAGAGTCATGGCTGCCACCAGCCAGAAGTTGGTCCAGGGAGGCATCACCAGGAGAGACTGGTTTTCGGACAAGCTGCACAGTGGGTGGCGTCACCAGTAAGTTGGCAGCAATGTCATTAGGGCAGCTAATGAATGAACACAACACTCAGGCAAAAATGCTGAATAAAAGAAAAATGGGCCCATGATTACCGTGGCTCAGATTGTTCCAACTACCAATAGTGTTTCATAATACACTAGAGGGAAATATAACGCTAGTGTCTATAAGAGCTGCAACACATGGCACTTCGGTCCAGCATGGAAATGATGCGTAACCATTGATGTGTCTAACCTTTGTTGTTTCGGCTTCGTGTGGGTCTCCTGCTTTTAAAACAAATAATTGTTCGAAACGTTCCCGCTTCACCATATTGGTCCTTTTGGACTCACCAATGCACATAGGCTCACGACGTTTACGAGTTTGCTTTTATCTAAAGGAAAAGCTAGACCAACTATAAACAGAGCCACAAGTACGTTCGAAGCCGCAAGCGTAAAGACTGGGCAAATCCATGCGACTACCAGTCATTCCAATGGTGGCTGAGCAGTCAGCAGAGTCCATTTCCTTCGAAGGTCAAATCTCATTACAGCAAACCTCAGATTAACAGAGTTTTTCGAAAATCCCCCTTCAAATGTCCATTGGTTTTATGTCAAAATATTTCGCTACTACGAATTTTAAAATACTGAATGTTTCAGAGTAATGTAGAGAATTCTATTGTCCTTGTCTTTCCCCAACACTTCAAAATCACTAATAGCCAATTTCTAAAGAGCTACTCGCTGCAGTGTAAACAATGCCCGAGCTACTCGCTGTAGTGTAAACAATGCCCAGCTCCGTACATGCCATCATCATCATTATCAGAATGCCTGCGCATTTTTCTATGCGCCTGCTCAATTCAAATCTGCAACAGCCCTATCTCCATCACCATTGCTTGTACTTGCTTTCCACGTCCAGCTTCGCCTTCTTGCCTTTGTTTTGTGAAGCGGCTCTGCTCGAACGCTTGTTACGCGCCCGTTTTCTCACTGTTAACTTGGTGGTTGCCCGTTCATAATGAGCTTCAGAAGCGGCACGAAAAGAATGTGGCAACACGTTAGAAATGCGACGCAAGTGAACAATGGGATGAAGTTGCCGAAGATTACTCGTAGATGCTTTACTGACGTTTGAACGCTACGCAGAGCGCATTGACGAAATATGCATGTTGGCTGAACTGATGACCGATAATACCTATACAATTTGTCATGATAAGAACAACAGCAATAGAAGAAAAGATAAAGTTGCAATGATATGTGTGAAGCAATGCAAAGAATCTGTGCCTAATGCCGATTCTTCAAAGTGCAAAAGAAGGATGAGCACTTTATCTGGCAGTGCCCACCAGGCAAATACCACGCTATTGCTCAAATAAGATGTGCACTCAATCCGTCACACTTTCCCCCGAATGCAGAGATGTTACTTGACTCGTACTTGACTCGTTCTTGACTCAAGACAGTCTTGCCGCTCGCCATAAATCGTTCTCGAACTTGCGGACGACTTGAAGGCGACTTGGCTCCGTCGAAGTCAGGACAAGTTTCAAGTCAGCTGCGGGGCTAGCTTGAAAGCGACCTCATGCGTTATTCCAACATGGCCACCTCTCGAATGAACGTCGCGCGGAGGGTGGCAACTTTCGAGTTTGCTTTGCCTCGCCATAAGCGTAGCATTTTCTGAGGCGCACTGCCTGCCGAAGATTCTTGGACCCGCTTTACGTGATCGAGGAAATCTGATGGAGTTTTACGACGAGGAATAATTCCACGCTCGATACAGATTCACGAAGAACTCCATGCGGCAGCTGCTGGGTATGTTGCCGCTCCGTAAAAGTGGGGACAACCGAGGACAGCCTGTGCCTCCAGTGTTACTGCTACTGGTGGCTCTCAGGTTTTATGGCGCTGGCACATTCCAAACAGTCACTGGGAATCTCGTCCGCATTCTGTAGTCGACAGTTTGCCGTGCAGTAGGAAAAGTTACGCTACTTATCGCAAAGCACCTGTGCGCAATGCTGGTGCGCTTTCCGCAGCCGGCAGCACTTTCTATAGTTATGCGGGACTTTTATGAAGTGGCTGAGTTCCCTGGCGTTACAAGGCTGTGTCGACTACACACACGTGCGTATTAATAGCTTCAGTGGGGACGACGCCAAAGTGTTCCGCAACCGCAAAGGCCATTCCTGTTTTTTTTTAAAACACAACGACAATTTCCACCTCTTACGGTACAAAAATGACTCGGCGCTGTGCCTGTGTGCCTCGTCTATCCTTTCGTCTCGTCTGGAGCGCTGTTTCTCGCTCAGAAAAGCATCGCTTGTAGCACAAGGCTACGTAAAATTCCGCGCATATAAAAAAGAGGTGACCCTATCACGGGGTTTTTTTATCCGCTTCGCCATCATGCAGCGAGACACTGTTGCAGCCCGTGAAACAGAATTCTGCTGAGGGCAATGTCCTGACACCCGCTTTTTCTCTCGTTTACCAAGCTCAACGAAAGAATACGAATCATATTTGTTCCCAGAACCTTTTTTTTTTTTTCATATACAACTGCGACCTACCCCACTACAGGCATGCACACAGGCGAACAGAAAGGCAAATACTGTGAAAATCGCGTCACCTCGTGAGCCAGGTCAGCACAAATACATGCCATGGTGTTCGATTGAAAAAAAAAAAAAAAAAAAAAAAAAAAAAAAAAAAACGACGGAAGAACTTAACGCAATGCTTGTTTCGCCTCCAAAAGCAACCGTGGAGAAACACCCCGCATTTGGGTGGCCACTAAAACTAAAAGCTATTTATATCCATAGAGTTTCCTAAAATTTAACTAGAGGGGTCTCTGTTGCTGCGATCGTTCAGCGACCATAGGAATGATGGGTAGTACACACATTTGCCTAGTCTTCGTACTTGCGGGTGGCGACTCGTACTTGCGGCTTCGTTTATTGCTGTGTTTCGATTTTGTTTTGAAAGAAAGATTCAACCCTTTTAAACTTTGTGACAAAATTTGGAAAGATAATTAAAAAAAAATAGGATGGTGAAGCGCAATCGCTGAACATTTGCCGATTTTTGTTTCATGAGAAAACAGCTTCAAGCCACACGAACACACACGGAGCCAAAAGCAGGCCATAAGTACGAAGTTTAGACAAATGTGTGTACTACCCATCATTCCCATGCTCGCTGAAGCGCCGGGTGTTACAGCTCCCATAGAAACTAGCGCCAGAGTTTCCTCTAGTAAGTATTGTGGGAAATTCTATGGCGGCAGGCACCACGTGCCGCTCGTTAGCCGTAAAATGGCAAGAATATGCTTGTGGCCTTTCGTTTTTATAGTTATTTTAAAACGTATGGTTTTTTTTTAATGTAATGCATGCCTTACGCGAACAACTTCATTATTATTCTCGTTAGCAGGCGTGCAGCGTGTTTCTGCTTTGAAGCTCGTTCTTGACTTGACCAAGCAAGACAACCTGAGTATCTATGAAACGCGAAGGCTGACTTGGGCGTTTTGAAGTCCGCTGCTTGCTTCACGCCGACTTGCTCAAGTTAAGTTGAAGTCGCGAGCCAAGTAACATCTCTGCATTCGTGTTAAGTTCATTTGGCGCTTATTTGAGAATAAAGCGATTGCAGATGTATACCGAGAACATATGGGAGACTCATTTGGTTACATTTATGTCTAGCACAATCTTTTTATTCTTTCATGGCATTTCAAAGTAATGATTTTTAACAGACCCTAGACATTCACAGTATCAAGATTTGACTGAAAAATATTGTAGGAAACTATGCCGACTACAACAAACATTTGAATACAATCAGGTGGCCTCATTTCCTGTATTTGCACAGCAGTAGTCATAGAGCATATTGTTTTCCTAACTCTTGTGCTGCTTACGGTTCTGCACCAAGGAAAGGAATTAAGCCTTATCTAAGTTTATTTCACATCATAAAGGAAACAACGACAAGCAATTTCAGTTATCTTTCAATGATTAGTGTAGTTCATTGGCAACTGCTTCATTGCCTTTCCACAAGAGAAACCTTGCTTCGACTTACCGAAAACGTTAGCACACCAACATGCATACCTGTTGAGGGCGTTGAGCATCTCAATGGTGACGAGCACGGACAAGGCCATGGTCATCGGGTGTGGGTCGTGGAAGACCTCGCATTCGACTCCACGGAAGTTCACCTTGTCCGTGACGCAGGACAGGTGGTGCGTCAGCTGGTAGTAGTTGAGATGAGGACCCGTTGGGCTCACCATGTACCACCAGGCTGCCGCACCCACAGTCGCTGCACCCACGTAGCCCCCAATGGCCATGTACCGGAAGAACAGCCAGCCTGCAGCAAAACACGGTGCATGCATGCTCATTATCAGTACAGTCTCGCGACACGCCTAAATTAAACAGAAGCACTACAGTACACGACGTTGGGCCACCTGGTGCACCCTAACTTGAAAGGCGTGGCGCAAGCTTAAAAACCGAGAGCGACAAGAAACAGAAAGAGCGCCAGCTCACTACAGAGTTTATTTTCCTGAAGCATTGGCTTTTATTAAGGCTTTTGATGCCTTGCCTGTTCTTTTCTGCATGCGCAATCGGTGAAATAGTTCGGCGCATGACCTACAAGAGCCTCAATAAAAAGCCAATGCTTCAGGAAAATAAACTTAGTTGTGAGTTGCCACTCTTTCTCTCTCTTCTCTGTATTTAAGCTTGTGCAACGCCTTTCAAGTAAACAGAAGCACTTATATAACAGGAGCGATAACTGGCTTCGGGAATGGCAGTCATAGCCAAGACTTATACAGTCGAAACCCGCAATAACGAAATCGCCGAGGAAACCAAAAAATTTCGTTCTCGCGAGAATTTCATTGCCGCGAGTATGAGACATAAAAACAGTGATACGGCCAGCAGAACGAAAATTTATTGTCAGGAGTCGGTCAGCTTACTTTGCCGACCCTTGCCATACAACGACTTTAAAGCTCTCCCTTCGCACTGGAAAAAGTGGTCCATTGCTACGTCATCGTCATAAGCGCAGAAGTAGGAGCGAAGGGTATCTAGTGCATCCAAAACAACCCGCGGGTTGGGTTTCTCCGTGTGCATCTCTTCTTAGTCCTCGGTGTCAGCTTCGCGCATGCTTTCGATAATGGCCTCGTCGGTCACTTCCTCATGCACGACTACAGGCTGGTGCACACCGGCGACCAGCAGCGGTCGCGCGACACTTCACGACTGGCGACTAAAAAGCGAGTGATGTTCACATCGCCAGAGGCTGCATGCGAGCGACCGGAAGTCGCAAAACTGGAGAGTCACGTCCGGATCTCGTTATTAGCGAAAACTCTGGAGACCGGTGCTGATCAGCTGATCGCCGCCAGCCGAGTGAACGGAGAGAACTGAGTGTGCCGCATTTATTGTTTTCGCACGTTCTTGCACAGCGTTGAAAAAAACAAACAAGAAAATTGAGCATCGCTGATTGGTTCGAGCAGCTTTGCGACTGCAGTCGCGCGAATGAAAAATCGGTCAGGAAGCGACCAGCCAAAGAAGTCGCCTTGCGACTGTTTGCGACCAGTTGCAAATGGTCGCGCGACCGCTGCTAGTCGCCGGTGTGCACCAGCTTTGACAGATTTTTCAGTTGCGCGACTACAGTTGCAAAGCTGCTGGAACCAATCAGCGATGCTCAATTTTTGTTTTTTTCAACGCTGTGCGAGAACGGACAAAAACAATAAATGCGGCGCACTCGGTTCGTTCCGTTCACTCAGCTGGCGGTGATCGGCTAATCAGCACCGGTCTCCAGAGTTTTAGCTCATAACGAGATCCGGACGTGACTCTCCAGTTTTGCGACTTCCAGTCGCTCGCATGCAGCCTCTGCCGGTGTGAACATCAGTTGCTTTTTAGTCGCCAGTCGCGAATGATCGCGCGATCGCTGCAAGTCACCGGTGTGCACCAGCCTTACATTATCATCGGCGTGAACGAACGCATCAACGGTGGGTTCATCTGGGATGTCGATGTCGATGGCTCGAAGTTCCCCCCAGGCGATGGTCAGGGATAGCTCGTCCGATGGCGCCATATGCACTCCAGCAGGATCATTTGCCACCGCTGCAGTGTGGCCAGGCATGTTGCCTGACACAGATCCCATCGCGGATTTAAGTAAACAAAAATGGCGGTACCCACGTTAGCGCAGCAAAAGCAGACATTTACAAATTTTGAGTGCGCATAACACGCATACGAGCATATTTTCAACAGTTAACCTTTGGCGGGAGGGTAAAATAAGGCCCGCACTGTGGTAGAAAATTCGTTAATGTGAGATCACTGTCCAAAAACATTTTGCTGCCGCGAGATACGTAATACATGGGCTTCTATGAACGTTCGCCGGGGACCCGGAAATATTTCGTTGCCATGGGGATTTCGTACTCGCGGGGTTTCGTTATTGCGGGTTTCAACTGTAACGGATTTCAACAGATTCAGTCAGTGCGTAATGCTCTGTAGTTACAGTAGAGTTAAACCTGGATATAACGAAATTGATGAATTCCCCAAAAAATTCGTTACAGAGAGGTTTTCAATATATCCAGGTTCGGTATGAAAATTCAGAAAATAAACGTGCAAACTAAACAAAAGGGGGACTGAAGGCAGAGCTAACCCCAAACACTCATTTTACAATAAAGAACTGCATTATTATTGCGATAGCAATTATATGGACCCTCTCGGCGGGTTTTTTCTGTCGCCGCAATGTTCCGAAACAAGTTTAAATTGACAAAATTCCCCCGCGCATTGTAACTTTCACAAGCAGGTAAAAGCGCGCGAGCGCTGCTGAAGCTGAGATCACATGAGTTGGCCTATCCCTATCACCTGGAAAGTGCATAACCTTTCCCGCATGTTAGAACTGCCATTGAAGGCTCAAATAGAAAGTAAACCACCTGTCTTAAACGAGCATGAAACAACGTGGGGAGGGGGGGAAGGAATCGCTCAAGTAGCAATAATAAACTTGGACTTTAAGGGCCATCGCGATCGCTGGTGCGCTTGCTATCTTGGCGAGTATAAGTGCGGTTTCAATGCGAAGGGACTGTGTGAAAAGAGCCAACGCAAGCACAGAAGTCGCAAATACATGTGCTCCTATGGAGCGAAGGCGGAAATAAAAAAACTTCGTTATATCCAGAAATTCCTTGTATTGCAGTTCGTTTTAAGCAAGTTTAACCCTAGTATATATTAGCCACCACAAGAGAAAAGCCATTGTTTTCAAACAAGCTCTCCCTCTTTGAACTGGATGACTAACTGAATCAAGTCAGTGATGTTCGAAAGCAGTAGCTATTGCACACAGCGCACGCGTGCAGTTGACTTTCAGTCTTACTTGAAACACTGCTTTTTTTTTTAAGGACGGACAGTTATCCATTTTGAGTTAAAATAGTTTGGCAGCACACAGCAATTCAATACTTTGCAGAGACCATCCCTAACAAGCAATTCATGTGCTGCACTCGTTTGCTTCTGACACTTTAACCCAATGAACGACAGTTTGTTGACAATACTTTGTCGTAACTAGTGGAAAGCCCTCACCTGAGATTAGAGACTCATCCGCCTTGCGAGGAGGTCGCTCCATGATGTCCAGGTCGGGTGGGTTGAAGCCCAGAGCAGTCGCGGGCAGGCCATCCGTCACGAGGTTCACCCACAGCAGCTGGACGGGGATCAAGGCCTCGGGCAGACCCAGCGCAGCTGTCAGGAAGATGCTCACCACCTCACCAATGTTGGACGAGATCAGGTAACGAATGAACTGCTTCATGTTGTTGTAGATGGCACGACCTTCTTCTACAGCCGACACAATGCTTGAGAAGTTGTCGTCAGCCAGCACCATCTCCGAGGCAGACTTGGCCACCGCCGTGCCCGAACCCATGGCAATGCCAATCTCAGCCTTTTTGAGAGCAGGAGCGTCGTTCACACCGTCACCGGTCATGGCAGAGATCTCCCCATCAGCTTGGAGGAACTCGACGATCTTGCTTTTGTGGGCGGGTTCCACTCTAGAGAACAACCGCGCCCTCTGGACGGCTCGTCGCTGTTCCTCCAATGGCAAGTCATCAAACTCTCGGCCGGAGTAGGACATGCCCGTGGGGTCCTCGTCCTCCTCGAAGATGCCTATGCGGCGGCAGATGGCCTCGGCCGTGCCCTTGTTGTCGCCCGTGATGACGATGACCCGAATGCCAGCAGCTCGGCAGCGCATGATGGAGTCGTACACTTCTTTTCGGGGAGGGTCCAGCATGCCCACCACTCCAACAAAGGTCAGGTTCACCTGTGACAAACACGCAAAAACAATCAGGTTAGCAGCTGTTGCAAACACCTCAAGTCCACAACCAATTAGGCAGACATGGTGCATACGGAATTCAATTCTGCAACTAAGACTGCCGTGTCTTCTCTTTTTCCGTCTTTGTCTACATTTTTGCATTGTTTTTACATCCAATCTGCAACTAAGACAACCTATCCCATTACAGCGGGAGAAAACTACATAAAGCCTGACCAACCAAATCGAGGATTGACTTCATAACATTTGAGAATTCATAAATTGTCTAAATGAAGATGCATGCAATAGCTAGAAAAGGGACGACTAGGCAAAGACATCGATGCAAGATAAGTCGGTATACCACGCCAGTAACAGCACACGTGCATGCAGAAACGCACCTCATATGTGGCAAACTTCGTGGAGTCACCAAGGTCCATCTCTTCGGGCTTGGGTGGGTTGTCCAAGGTGGCAAGGGCCAGGCACCGCAGCGTGTCACGACCGGTGCCATAGGTACGCGTAAGGTCCAAGATGCGCTGTTTCACAGCTCCGGACATGGCCATCTTCTTGTCGCCGACCCTGCAGTGGGTGCATCGCTCAAGAACACCCTCAGGGGCTCCCTGCACAAGACAAAAGCCATTCACTTGAGTTTGGAAACACAATAAGTGCCGTACAAGTATGCGTGGGCTACATCTTGCACTGTTGGCATGTCTGGCAGCATGCGATAAAGCAGAAAAATACCGTCAAACTCTTTTATAATACAGTAAACTCCCATTAAAACGAATTCTTGTTAAAAAGAACCACATGGGAATGTTTATTTATTAATTTATTCAAAATAACTTTTAGGCCCACTGAAGGGCATTGAGTAAGGGGGGCATCACTATACAAACGAAATAACAATAAAGGAGAAAAGCAGACGAATATATATATATAAAAAAGATTACAAAAATTAAGGTGCAACAGCGTTATGCAATATTAGTGTACAATGAAATCAGGTTATCACGAAAAGTTTCACGGTTAGAAATGGATACAACATGATCCGGAAGATCGTTCCAATATGCAATGGCTCGAGGTAGTGATAAGTTAAATGCCTGCGTGTGACCATGAATGCGCATGAAACTACGTGCATTGTGAATGCGCCGAGAAGTGCGCGCAGGAGAATATAGTGAGAAGTTGTTTGTATGGTAGTCAAACTCTTTTATAATACCATAAACTTCCCCGTTAAGACAAATGCTAGCTTAAGGGGGGACGCGGCACTTCGGGACCGAAAATCAGCCAAAAAATCGAGTTTTCGCGGACCTTCTTTTCGCGTTCCCGACATCATTGCGCACCTATTTACAAAATTTCATAGCCGAATACCTTCAACTTTTATCGTTATTCAACTTTAAAAAACCGAAAACGGGCGTCCTGCCCTTTAAATTGAGGGCGAATAGCGCAGGTTTCGGCTCTACGATACGCGGGAACTACGCGCTCGATCGGCGCCATTTTGGTCTTGTTTGAAAGAACGCGTTTTCAGCTGTTTTTTTATTCAGTAAGCAACATTGAGCGTTTCCCCGGCTCGAAAAACGGGGCCTCAAAGACGAAGAGCCGCGCTCACTGCCATTGGCTAAACGGCGCACGTGACTGAAATGGCGCTTTCCAGTTGGCCGGAAGCTCGCGGCTTGCGCCTGCATACGCGACCCGACGCCATTTTGAAAGGGTTACCGCTGTGACGCCTCGAAATCGGCAGAGCACTCTGAAGCTTCTGATCGTATCCCCATGCCTGGAAACGCAAAAAAGTATCAGACCGTGCACGCATTTGGTCGCAGGAAACGCAAAGGTCGTGGGAGAAAGTCTACGAAGTCATCAGAGCCCTTGGTTGACTCCGACGAACGATGTGTCGACGCTCCGCGGCCGTTCAGCGATGGTGCGACCGAGCGCATTGCCTCCGACGACGATGACGGTGAAGCGAACTCCGGACGACTACGAATCGACGCCAAGGTGGTGACAAATGCCGAAGTTGAAGAAAATCATGCCCGGGAGAAAGCGACGCTCGACCGGCTTTCATCGGCGCCAGCAACTGCACGGAAAATTGACTTTTTCACCGCGAGTTGTAGCGAGGCAACCGCACAGGACTCTGACCACGCTGCTCCTTATCTGCTTATGCATCTAGATATCCTAAACGCGATAATGGGTGCCTTGTGTTGCAAAGCCTGCCACGGACCGGCTACGATCGTCAGAGGGGATTGGGACTACGGACTTGCCGTGAAAGTGCTAGTGCAGTGTGAAAGGTGCGGCGAGATCGCGAATGAATGGACTTCGCCCCGCGCGAACGGCACGAAAACGTGCAATCCGTTTGAAGTAAATCTTCTCGCTTCGAGGGCGATGGTGGCTACCAGCAACGGCCAAACGAAAATGAACGATATTTTCGCAACAATGGGCATCTCACACCGCGGTATGCACCACAAGACGTTTCAGCGGCATTTGAAGAACACGCTGGCACCCGCTGCAACGCGAGCGGCTGAGTCCGCTATGAGCGAATGTGCGGAAAAGGTTAGAACAATTTATGATGACTTGTGCTTCGGCCACCGGGGCAATATTGCCGTTAGCTACGACGGCACGTGGAAGACGCGAGGCCATTCTTCCCACATCGGCGTGGGCACAGTTATCGAATTATTTAGTGGCTACGTGTTGGACTACGTCGTTTTTTCCAACTTTTGCCTAGGCTGCGAGGTGGGCCCAAAGCCTAGTAGTGAGGGCTATCAAGAATGGAAGGCTAACCACAAATGCCAAAAAAATACGAACAGCAAAGCGGGGCAAATGGAAGTGGAGGCGGCTCTAATTCTATTTCAGAGGTCGCTTGAACGCCATGGCCTGCGCTACACAACTATGCTGTCTGATGGAGACTCTAGGACATTTTGCGCCATACAAGACGCCAAGGTGTATGGTTACATTGACGTGCAGAAGGAAGACTGTATTAATCATGTACAGAAACGGATGGGCACCGCATTGAGAAACCTGGTGCAGAAACAAAAGTGCGATGGGAAAAGAGGCCTTGGCGGGAAAGGCAGGCTCACAGGTGAGCTGATCACCAGGCTGAGCACATATTATGGCCGGGCTCTGAAATCGCATGAAGGTGACGTGGGCGAGATGCAAAAGGCTGTGATGGCCACATACCGCCACGTCACCTCCACTGATGAATGCTCGGACCACAGTCTGTGCCCAGCTGGTGAAACTTCATGGTGTCGGCACAATGCCGCAAAAGCAAAGGGTGAGCCCGACCCCAGGCATGCCTACAATCTACCGAAAGACGTGGCAGAGGCATTACTACCGGTTTATACCCGGCTTTCGGAAAGAGCCCTGCTTCAGAGGTGCGAACGCGGCAAAGCGCAGAACTCCAACGAGAGCCTACATTCGGTAATCTGGAGTTTGGCCCCCAAGGAGCACCATGCGTCCCTGTTCGCTGTTGAAGCAGCTGTTGCAGAAGCAGTGCTGCGCTTCAACACGGGCAATTTGAATTCTGCAACGGCAATCTTAGGAGAAATGGACATGAATGCGACAAGTACTGGTGCCAGGAGAGCGATAGAAAAAGGCCACCGTCGCAGCATTGTCTCCAACAAGAAAAGAACAGCCTCATTGGAACTCCGGAAGCTAGTGAAGAGGAGGCATGAGCACAGAATGCATTCAGACTATGCTTCTGGTGCGTTTTGAGGTTGTCTTGTTGCATCTTCTGCAATAAAAATGTGTGCCCACGTTTTTTCTCGATTTCTCAAAACGACAATTTTCATGTGCTTCCCATTATGCCGGAGCAATATCTCTCGTTCTATCTGGGTTATCATTACGATTTCTTTTTTGTTTCGAAGATAAATGCAGGGGATGTGTCGTAAAGTAAGTTTTATTGTAATAATTTTTTGAGAAAATTCTCTAAATGGATCTTTTGTTTCAAGTGTAGATGGGGAAATTTTTCATGTCATATTCAACATCCCACAACTTTGCTTCGAAATAGCCCAGAACAATGATTTATACTTTATTGCCCACTGTGAACATACCGAATTGGTTCTATAGGTTGCACATCAATATCCAAGTTACAGTTAATTAGCTAATTAGGCCTTAATTGAAAAAGCGCAGTTCATTATATCTTTAAAACTAATTGTCACAGCAAAAAAAGAATTAGATTTTTGAAATCAGCAGTAAAATCTACATAGGCTCTCCAAATTTGACTGAGGTACTCGCAAAAATAAAAGAGTTTTTGGAAGGTGTAGCATCCCCCCTTAAGCACAACATGGGAATGTTTGTATGGTTTCCCATAAATTTAATGCAAAAAAAAATTGCTTAAGGGAGCAGACTGGTTTCTGAGACCAAAAAGTGACAAAAAATTAATTTTTTAATATTGCACATTTGGTTTCTGCAAGTATGTTTCTATCTCTCTGCAGATTTTTACACACCAGGAAGCAGTAGTTTTTTTACAGGAAGTGGTAGTTTTTTTAATGTCATTCTATCTGTCCAGATTCTTGGTGCTGTTAACATGCAGAACCTGCAAAAAATGGGGAACCAACTTTGACGATTCTTTATAATTTGCCGGCACCTGTGTTAGAAGCTCTGCTACGAATTTATGAGCATCTTTATCAGGATTGCAAAACATGCGCACCATGATTGTTGTTTTTTGAAGAAGCTGTGCGTTTTTACTTTTTTCCATTTTTCTCAAAAAATTGAATTTACGACAGTTCAATTTAGAGGCCTCAATTGATACCTGGTGTTTAACGACCCAAAACCACCATATGATTATGAGAGACGCCGTAGTGGAGGGCTTCGGAAATTTCGACCACCTGGGGTTCTTTAACGTGCACCCAAATCTGAGCACACGGGCCTACAACATTTCCGCCTCCATCGGAAATGCAGCCGCCGCAGCCGAGTACCTTAGCTACTAGACCACTGCTGCGGGGCAATTTGAGGCCTCAATATCACTGCGCCTAGGGCTGGTACAACAATAATTCTTTTTGCAAGGGAAACCTGTATGTGTGTAGAATGTAAGTATAAAAGCAGAATTTAGAGCCCAAGCCTAATAACTCATCAAAATTGTAAAACAATTCCAACTGCTTTTCAAAATGAATAGTTCATTTTGCTGTGAAATAACCAAGAAAAGCCTAAAACAAAAAAACTCTTGCATAACTTCAATCTATAGTGATTAGTCTATGTTGGCATATCTTAAATATCACTTTTAATTAATCACTTTTTTTTCTATGGCCGCCTTAAACAAGAGGGGGTGACCTTATCTCGAAAATAAAATAAGTTAGAGGAAAACTAATTAAATATTTGAATTCAGCAGAAAAAACTGCATATTTCTGAGCAGTTTGATCAAGTTCACAGAAGAAATATTAAAAAATATGTCTAGGACCAGTCTGCCTCCTTAAGGGGAGATGCGGGTTGAAAAACCGTAATTTTTTTCGAAAAAGGCCATTTCATGTTTTGTATTCCTCTAAGCGTTCTCCTTAATGTATTAAAAATCAAAGCTGAGAATCGAGTAGAATATATAGAAAAATACAATTAAACTACTTGTGATGGATTGCGAAAGTGCGAAATTACCCAATTTTCGTGCACACGGCACATCGCTCTGCGGCAACCCCGGCTCTTAAAATTTCACGGATGTGTAAGCCTAACCCTCTTATTCCAGAGCCCGCTTTGGCAGCGCGGCATTCCAGCTGAAAATGCTAGGAAAAAAATTTTTTTACCCACTGCATTCTAGCGTGACGACTGGGCCTTTGAAGTCGCAAGGTGCGATCGGAGCTCTGCCACTGGTTGCAAGCATTGCGCCACACAGTCTGACACAAGTGCTCTTTCGTTGTTCTCCTGCTTCTGCCGAGACATCGACATACATAACCGCCCGAGTTACTTTTTCCGTGCCATGGCTTTGGCTTTTTCCCTGCCATGGCGTATATTGGCTCTGTCAAGGTAAAGGTATGCAATGAAGGCATATACAAAAGTAGTTGCAAAGCCAATAAAAGACAGCCTCTCAGAAAGAGAACAGCCAGAAGAATAAATTTTCCATTCATTGAAGCAAAACTGTGCTTGTTTTTCCCTTTTTATCTTTTTCTAATCGTCAATACATGGCTGCGCTACAGGTTAATTGTTGAAGTGTGGTAGCAATTTATTCATAAGCATGTTTATTATGAACTCGTAAAATCGCGTACTCCTTAGATTAATCTGAGTACTCTACTTGAAAGCAAAGTTCTTATCGAGCTGAGCCAAATGCTTTTCCTTGTTCGTTTCCTTCCCATTGTAAGTATAATTCATTCAGTGTTTTCAAGCAACATATTTGGGTGTACTTGGCAACATACTTGGGTGTACATTTCATTTTTCGGGGCACTTCTGATAGGATGAACTCCGGATAAGACGGACAAATGATCGTGGTCTCTTGGAGTTCGTCTTAAGGGGAGACGCGGGTCGAAAAGTCGCGGTTTTCCGGAAAATTTTCGCTTTTTTTTTTCCGGCTGTATTGGCATCCTTGGACTATAATCTATTACTTCTGAAAATATCAAGCTGAAATTCGCACGAGAAATTATCAAAAAATGCTTCCAAGTGGGCAGCGGTGACGCAAGAAATGCGCGAAAGTCGCGAAAAACGGCGAAGTTCGCGTCGTCCTGTCGCGAAAACGACGCGTTGGCCGCCATTTGCAATCGTGCACGCATGCTGCGAAGGCCGTATCCTTCATAATCCACTAGTAGCCAGTCTCCTGCCTTCACGCAGAAAACAAAAAACGAGAAAAACAACGCGTACGTCACGCGTTTTGAATATCGCGGCACACAGCGCGAGGCTGCCATTGGACGGCGGTGCGCTCCACGCTCCTCCCCCTCCTATCTCTCCGGCAAAAGAGCGAAGCCTCGGACGTCGCGATCGAGTTTTTCTGCGTTTCTCTGCATTTTTGCGTCATGGCAAGCCCGAAGAAGTGCAGTTCAGATAATCGAAAGTTCAGAACTCGCCACAAGTATCGAGGGAAACGGCGTCGGACGCTTCGCAAAGCGACAGCGAACGACGATGTCGCCCCCGACCAACGCCCCGACGCTCCGACTTCGGATAGGCCTAACACCGTCACCGAACCCTGCGACAGTGGTTGTGAAATAGCCGCTGCCGTGGAATTCGTCAGTGCATCCCAAAGGAAGATTGGATTCTTCGAGAGTGAACGTAGACCGGTAGATGCTGCTAACTGCGAACATGCTGCTTTGCGAAATCGATGCGCTGACGGCACTTGTGGCGGGTGCGCAATGCCCAACCTGCCGCGAACGGAAGCTCGGCGTGCGAGAGGCAGCTGGAAAGCGCAAAGGACTTTCGGCATTCCTCGAACTGTGCTGTCAAAATTCTGATTGCCCTGAATCTGCACTTTCATTCACGCACACGTCGAGACGTACTGCTTCGGCCGGGGACCAAGGAACGAGCGCTCGTTTTGACAGCGGCAGCTCGCGTGACAGCTTTGCTGTAAACGTGAAGGCAGTTCTGGCAGCACGCGCTATAGGCGCAGGCCACGACCAACTTTCACGATTTTGTGCGATTCTCGGTCTTCCGAGCCCGATGCATCACAAGACATTCAACGGCATTTGCAAGAAGCTCCATAGTGCGGCGATGACGGCAGTGAGCAAAAACTTGCACCAGGCACGAAAATCACGAAGGACGCAGTCGGCGGCAGAGATGTGCCAGTCATGTTTGATGGCACCTGGCAGAAAAGAGGTCATAAAAGCCACAATGGAGTGGGCACAGTCGTGTCCCTGGACACGGGGCTCTGCCTCGATTTTGAAGTTCTTTCGAACTACTGCCATGCTTGCAGTATACACAGGGACCTTGGGGAGGATGAAGAGATATGGCGAGCTTTTCATCTTCCAGTTTGCCAAAAAAACACTGACTGCTCATCCATGCAATGGAACCTGCGGCAGCTGTCAATATATGGCAGAGGACCTTGTCTTATGAAACTCCACTGCGATTCACCAGCTTCCTAAGTGATGGTGACAGCAAGGCCTACACTGCAGTCTGCGAGGCAAATGTATACTGTGACACCCCCATTGACAAAGAAGAGTGCACGAACCACGTTGCAAAGCGCTTGGGAACTGCCCTACGGAAATTGGCAACGCCACTGCCACGAGGCGAAAAACTGAAAGATGCGAAAATAATAAAACTACAAACATATTACAAGATCGCCATCACGAGCAACAAGGACAGTGTCCGAAATATGTACACTGCCATATGGGCATCGTATTTTCATTGCTGCTCCAGTGATGGTGCCAGTAGCCACAACTTTTGCCCCGCGGGACCAAATTCGTGGTGCAAGCACAAGCGTGCGGAAGCACTGGGGGAGCCTGCACCACGCCACACCCCACTGTTGACGAAGGCTCAAGGATTGGCAATTATGCCTATCTACAAGCGCCTTACAGAGGAGAAACTCCTTATTTGGTGCCTTCATGGCAAGACACAGAATGCAGCCGAATCGCTGAACAGCAAGATATGGCTGCTATGTCCAAAACAAAGTTCGCCTCCAGAACAACTGTGGAGACAGCCACCGCTCTTGCTGTACTCTGGTACAACAAAGGCCACAGGGGCTTTGAAGAAGTGCTCGAAGGCATTGGAATTCTCCCCTCACAAGATCTGGCCACACATGGTGACCACTGTGACGTCATGCGCATCAGGAAGATGAACCTGAAGCAAACTGCAGAAGCGAGGGCACACCGTCGCAACACAGCGAAGAGAGCTCGTGTTGAGGACACTGACCGCAAGAGCCGTGAAGGACCAAGCTATGGTGCAGGGGACTTCTAGACACTTGCAGTGCATTCAAGGCAAGGTACTTTTCATTGTGCCCCAATTTGATGCAAAAAGAATGATTTCCTAATAAATGCCAACTTTGCGAACTTTCAAACTTGTTTTTCTCATTTTCATTTTTTCTGGCAGTTTCACGTTTTCCGGGCAGCCTTTAGAAACTTATATTCATTGTATAGTAACGAAACTTGGCACACATATTCTTCAACACATGCAGAATGCAAATATCTACTCTAAATTGCAATGCCTACCAGCATTAGTTGTGAAAATATTAGCTTATTGTTTCAAGGGAGATTGAAAATAATAAGTCATTCAATACAATTTTTTTTTCTTGGTTCCAATATTTCTGTGACATATCTATATAGATATTTGCACTTTTCAATCTACCAAGAGTCAAATAAGATCAGACACAGTGCTTTTACTGAAAGTTTAGTACATAAAAGAGTGCCCGCAAAAAATGTAACTTTTTGCTATTGTTTATAGCATAACTCAATAATTATAGCAGCTACACAAAAAATGATTGCATATTTGAAATCTGCATGAAAAACTATACTAATAACAAACTTTTGAAGTCTCTATTACTAGAAATAAAAAAAAAACTTTTTCGAGGAGCGTCTCCCCTTAAAGGGAGTCTACAGTAAATCGAACAGTTCAGCAAGAAATGGAAGTAAATTGTTTTAGATGCAGATGTGCAAAACAAAAGGCCCATTTGGATATCTGTCTCATGTGCATTGTACCCCCTGTGTACCCCGGCAGTTATAATGAAGTCATGCCAAATTTATTGCTTTTACCAAAGGGCTATGTGCTTGTTGCCAGAGCACGCCTACACAAGTCTGAGCTAAAGGACTTGTGGGGAAGCACGTGCGCCCATGGTTCCTTTCCGTAGCTCGGCAGCCTAGTTGCGAGGACATGTCTATCACTTCAAGAAACAAGACAATGAAGTCTCTTTTGAAGGGACCGGTCACCCCGCGACAACGCATGCCCACCAGCTCGTTGGGGAGAGGGAAACCGGGAGGTTGGCTCATTGGGGAGAGGGAAACCGGGAGGTTGGAGCCCGGTGGCTAGTGCCAGCAAGGCACCAGCCACCGGACTGGCACAATAGCTTCCGGTTTTCTCCTGTGAGCCATGGCGATCGACGCGAAAGGTGTAAGCGTATACGCTTTGTTATCTTCTTAGAGTGGACAATCCCTCTAAGCGACATTTACCTGTTATTGCTAACGTAGCAATAAAGTGTTGTTTTGTTGACCTGTTGCCTTATTCACTTGAACCCCTGTAGCTGAGACGACTCGGGCTACGAGAAGGGGACGTTATTTGTGCACGGTAAGACTGTGTACGTGCTGGAACATTAGCTAGACTTCATTAGCCTGTAGGTAGGGCACATCCCTGTCAGACCGAAAAAATGGCCGTTCTATGGACCCACCTTCACAAACATCTTGGGTCCAGTTCCAAGCTTGGTGTTGGCAGCAGCCCTCGTTGGAGCACAGTAGGAGCTCATAGACTTGCGATCCCGGGAGAATTCGAGAGTAAACTCCTTTTTCCACATTGCCTGCACACCGTGGTTGACAGTCAACGCCGCGTCACGCCTGGACTTGCCACTCTTGTCGAATCCAAAGGGGTTCATCTTCTCTGCCAGCACAATCAGCGCAGTCTCGGTGGCCTCGCCCACTTTTTCAAAAGCTTGCTTGTACTGCAAAGAGGCAGACACAAGCACACTTTCACATGGTTCATAGATGCCCTAACACACTTCTGAAATTTATTGAAGCAGTCTATAGATTGTTTTTGTAAAGAATTCACTGTTGATAAGAAGTACAGTGGGCACCAAGTAGTAGTGCATACATGTAGAAACATGAAATGCTCCACAAACAATGCTTAATACTAAATAAACAGAAACAAATTTTCGGAAAGTTCGAAAGTTAAATCACGTAAAAAGAGTGAGGTGTAACTTTTATTCGAATAGGCTGAGGCCAAAAGCGGATGACAAGGTTCATATGAGCTGGCGATTGCATAGGAATGAAGAAGTCAAATGCACCATGTAATTCAATACTGGGTAGAAAATTTAACGATGGCAACGTCTAGTCTAGTTGAGCCATGCATTAAGTGTGGAAATGCCAATGGTGAGAGTAGATGGTGCATGTTTCTGTACCTCACCACATGGCTACCAGTTCTTGCAAAGTATACCCTGCTTCAAGAAGATATCAGGGTCCATCTAAGGTCACCATAAAACTACACGGGACAGTGCCGCGCATACTACCACAACACTGTTTAGTGCAGTGGCTGCCTTGCACAACAATGAATGTATGCCGTCATGGATGCCATCCTTAGACGGTACGGCTCCACAGCAACTTCGAAGAGCAATCATGACATGAGAAGAAGAAAAAAGATCAAGTTCTGATGCCAAAATTCAAGAATGTAATAATTACGCTAGTGCAATCATGAAAGTAAGCACAGTTTTTGCTTTCATTAAATGTGTAATTCTGGAAGAGCTAATTTAGATATTCTCTCAAATCTAGGCTTGTGCAAATATTTGAATGCTTTGAATATTTGGAATAGTAGAGTATTCGAATTCACTTCAATTCGAATCTAAATTATTGAAAGTTTTGAAGTATTCGCAGTGAATGCAATAGGTGTACAATATATTATTGCGCATATATATAAAGGTGATTTCACTGCAGTGTAGGGGTTCTAAGCTGTGAAAGCACCTATCGAAAAAATTGGCCCCGTATCTGCATGTAATCTGCAATAGTCGTCGAAAGACGATAGCCTTGCATGTGGAGAGAGTGAACAAAACATTTATTTGATGTTCTGCGCAAGAAAATCAGTGAATGGTATTCCAGAGGCGCTGCATTAGAGTGCCTCGAGCGTGTAGCGAAGGTGAACGAGCGCATCAAGTCACGTCACACGTCGGACATGAGCGCCATCTGGCAGTTCCTTTTGGAAAACGAAGCGCATGGCCGGGCGCGCCCGTCTCAGAGGTGATAAGCTGTCCAAAGCGAGGCGAAGGGTAGGTGCCACCACCATCTTGTCTTAACAAAGCGTTGGAAACACTCCCCGTTCCGTGCAAGCATTGCATGGTAAGCGCTACGGTCCTTAAAATTACTTATGTATGCGTTTTCTAGTAAGAGATGCATATGCAGAATATATCCATGTTCTTATGGTGCCCCAGACATGCGCAATAATTGCTTTTTAATTGACAATTGCAAAAGCATGAACGCTCAACCTTGAGCAACATTGGTGGTCGCTGCGGATGGGGTCGGCCGTTTCAAGTACCCGATGCCAGTAAGAGTGAAGCAGACAGACAAATGTACAGACAGACAGACAGGACCAAAATTTTTGCGTTGAAGGTCCCCAAGAAAGACTATCGTCTTTAGAAAAATCTGTTCTGCCGCGAAGCCTCATGTTAAATTTAAAGAGCCCCTGCAACACTTTGGAGAATGGTCAGAAAATGCTGCCGATAGGTGGTCTAGGCCACCGAGAACATGCGATCCAAATATGTAGTGCAGCACACGGCCTCCAATTCACAATGAATTTTCAAAGTTGGCTGAAAACTACTCTCCTCTCCGAAAATGATGCCACAAGCTCAAAAATCCCTCGTCGCAGCCATTGTATCAGCCATAGGCTCATTGGAGCACGGCGCGCTCGGTCATTACTGGGGCTGCCACGAGAGGCTGCCACTTGTCCATGCATACGTGCGATCGCACTAAAAAGCGGCATACTTGAAGAAAAAAGAAGTGAGAAAGAGAGCTGTCCCGAGGCCGTGTGACGCATTTTCTTTACCCATGCCGTCCATCCCTGCTTATCTTCCAGCTCTTTCGTCGAGACATGAGAGAATGCACTTGCAGAGCGACAAATCTTTGCAATTCCGCTCGTACTGTATGGATTCTAATATTTCTTACGGCGGTTAATTCGTGAGGCAATAAGCTTCTATAGTGAATCCATTCTATAGCTGTTTAAAAAGGTATTGCTAGGCCCCTTTAAAGAACATATTACCCTCAAATCAATTCATCATTCTTTAAAGCTTGTTACGCCAGCTTATATGCTTTAAGTATAATAAATTTTAATATATGTATTTGACAGGTTATCACTTACATCCACCAAAAGTCAAATCCTGCTACTTCTCATAGTTTTTTCAACTTCCTTTAAACGAGAAAAAAATTGGTATTTACATAGAGGCCTTATATCAATCAAAAAAATTTTGAGCAGGTTTTCCGTTCTGCAGTTTCAATGTCCCATGTGCTTCTAACGAGCCTGCGAGCATTTCAGTGCAACATAACAGCGGACCCTCTTTTCCCTCCCCAAAACTCTAATCTCTCCCTCTCTCCACACACACGCACACACACACACACACGCCCGCCCGCCCGCCCGCACACGCACACACACACACACACACACACACACACACACACACACACACACACACACACACACACACACACCACACACACACACACACACACACACACACACACACACACACACACACACACACACACACACACACACACACACAGACACACACACACACACACAATATTCCAATTAGATTCGAAATTATTTGACCAAAATCACTATTTGCTTCGAACCTAAAATTCACTATTCGCACAAGCCTACTAGAATCGTATTGCTCGAGGTCGTTTTTACAGTCAATTAAGGAAAAAGTGAGGTACAAACAGGCAAGTGCTCACCTCATTGAAGTCAATGCTGGAGTCATTGCACATGCAGCAAATGGTGGTCAGCTCGTGTAGGGCCTCGTAGTTGGCGCAGTTGGCCTTGGCGCCATTCTTGAAGACCTCACCAATGGGCTCGTACGTCGAGCCAGTTACCTCAAACTCGTGGAAGCTGATGTCGCCAGGGTCAGCCTTGTCGAGGATGAAGAAGCGGCTTACCTGAACGTCAATAGAGAGAATGTAATAGTTTATATACTGTGGAGACACAAGAGAATGTCTGCCAAATAGCCTGTGGGGATCGTATGAGTCAATGCAAACGAGATTATTTTCATGCGAACTAGAGGTATTTGTCAGATTTTGCGAGGAATCTTGTTGGGACATCAAAGGCAAATGACAATTTATGGTAAAGTAAAAGCTCAATGTATGACAAGGTCTAAAATGGCAATATCGTCAAAAGCCGTACCTTAATTGCCAAGGAATTAAGCTAAATGATCACACAACGTGCTCCACGAGTGGGAAATTTGTGAAATGATACCGATGACGTGAGATAGTAACTAAAATTAATCCCTGGTAATCGAACTAGCTGCAATAAAAAGTAACCTTCCGTTTATCAAGAGACGTAATAAATTGCTCCTTGTCCGTTTCTGTTAGATTTAAAGGAAAAAAAAAAAACACCTGGCATTATTATGGGGCACGGCGCGAGTGGCTCAAATGTTGCTTTTTAGGCTGATAGTGGTGTCATCTAGTGGGGCCCAGTTGAACCTAGCAAGCAGAACCACGGCATCCAAGATTGCAGAAAATCGTTCAACGGCTGTTGCGCTACTGAGGCTCCTGCTGCTTTTGCTCTGCTGCTACCGGTGTCAACGGCTGTGCAGTAAAGGCGGGCAACGTTGGGCACGGCAACAGTGACGTCAAGACTGCTTTCAGGTGGGCAATTTGAATTGCACTAACGCAATGCAGAGCACTAAAACGTGATTTTATTTCAGAATCAGCACTTCCTTGGCACAAGAGTAGGACTACGAGGTTTCTGGACCACAGTTTTAACAATCAACACCGACTTAATATCTGACTTTACTGTCCCTTTATTTAAAGTCTTGCACCCGGTAAATCACCATCCCTACCATCCTAAACAAGATCTTCCTCTTTCTCGTATCATTTGCATGGGAGGTAAAAAGCACTTTTCTGAAATTACTGCCACTAACATCCCAAACATTCTGGTGCAGCATTATCAAAGTAAACTTTTCAAAAACAAATCGGGAAGTACACGGCTGTATTAATGCAGGACACTGCGCACGTACGTACAGGCATACAGTCGTGTCATAAAGCAGACCTAATGAAAGTAAGGCCCACAAGATGTTATGAAGTAATGTTATGATACAGTGAAAGCTCGTGAATTCGCACCTCATTAATTCGAAATTTTGGATAATTCGAAATGGTCGCCGCAGTCCAGTCCGCAGTGCATAGGAGACCATGTGTAAAACGATTCGTTAATTCGAACAGAAATTGCTGCCTCTACGGATAATTCGAAGCGCGCGTCGCCGAGCGTCATCATCATCAAACACTAGTGGAAGCTTTTACGGTCGAACTATAGGTGGCACGACCAGTTTTTTTTTTAGCTTCAAGTGGCCTCCGAGCGAAGGGCGAGCAAAGTATGGCCTCCAAAATCTAGGGAGCAATTTTTTTTTTTTTCGTAGCTGTCCCGCTATCTCAGCGCCTGGCGCCACTTGTACGCGGGACCCACGGGACGCTGAAGAGTCGGCGGAGTAGTCCTAGCAGTCCTAGGCCGCTCCCAGCAGCGTCACTTTGTTCCTCGAGCACGTTGTTCGTTCACACCGTCAAGCCGTCTTATTCCGCATCGAAGTTGCAAGCTGCCGCGGGGAAACTACTGCGCGAAGACTGTCAAGGAGAAGGTGGAGATTTTGCAAAAGGTTGACCAAGGAAACTCGAGCAAATACGAAATTGCGAGGAAGCATGGCATACCTCCGAGCACGTTGTCAACCTACATACGCAACAAGACGGCCATTGAAAACGCCTATGAAGCCGAGGATTTTGGCGCCAGTCGAAATAGGCTAAGGACAGCGAAGTTCCCGGAACTGGAGTCAGCTTTGATTATCTGGTTTAAAGAAATGAGAGCCCAGAGTATCGCATTGAGCGACCCTATCATCGTGGCCAAGGCAGCCGATTTCGCCCTGCGCTTGGACATTGAAGACTTTGTCGCCTCCGAGGGATGGTTTCATCGTTTCAGGGAGCGGCACAATCTCGTATTCCGCACGTTATCCGGCGATGCAAAGGAAGTGGACGCCGAAACATGCGCTACTTGGAGAAGCGACACCCTGCAGCAGCACTTGGAGAGCTACTCACCACAGGATGTGTTTAACGCTGACGCGACAGCATTATTTTTCAAGTTGCAGCCAGACAAGGCGATCACCTACGAGGGAGACAGCTGTGCCGGCGGCAAGCGCAGCAAAGAGAGTGTCACTGTTCTGGTCGCCGCAAATATGACCGGTACGGAAAAGGTCCCCCTTTTTGTGATTGGCAAAGCACTCGAGCCACGGTGCTTCAAAAACATTCGCTCACTGCCGACAGAGTACGCCGCAAACAAGAAAGCCTGGATGACAGGTGACCTATTCAGGAAGTGGCTACTGAAATTCGACAGGCGAATGGAACTGGGTGGCAGACGCGTTCTTGTCGTCAACTGTTCGGCGCACAAAGTCGACGTTGAGCTGAGAGCAACTAAGTTGGTGTTCCTTCCGGCAAATACGACTGCGGCCCTGCAGCCAATGGACCAGGGTGTGATAAGGAACATTAAGTGCTTTTATAGGCGTCACGTGCTGGAGAGAATGATTTTGTGCGCGGGCGACAGGAAGGACTTCGGCACTACGCTGCTCACTGCCATGTTCATGTTGGTGCGTGCATGGGAACAAGTGACCGCGACCACAATCGCAAACTCTTTCAGCCACAGTGGATTTGGAGCTGGAAGTGTGCAGGATAGTTGTGACGTCGACGTGGATGGGGCTGAGGAGCTCATGCCAGCGGCGCTGCGTGACACTCTTCGGGGCGTAGTTTTGCCGATTATGTTGAAGTTGACACCGGTGCATCGGTGTGTGGTGCCCTGACTGATGAGGACATTATCGCTCAAGTAGCCGGTGTGCAGCCTGATGCTGAAGAGCCAGAAGGTGAGGAAGACGAAAATGACGAAGCGCCTGTGCGCCCGTCAGCTTCTGCGGTGATGGAGGCACTTAATGTGGTGCGTCTCTTCTTCAGCTTTGAAGAGGGTGAAGAGGATTCCCTGCGCCGCGTCCGCGCGCTGGAACAGGGAGCCGCAGCTGTGGCATTCAGAGAAAAGAAGCAGATGGTCATCACCGACTTTTTTGGCCAATAAATATTTTTCGTGCCCCCACCCCCGAAATCCACCCATGTTTGCTCACTTTCATTATTTCACTTTCACTTTCAAATTGCTGAAATTGTGAAATTCGAATTAACGAGCTTTTACTGTATAAGCAAGGCCAAGATAAAAAAATTGAAAAACTTGCACTGTACCCGAGGATGCACCTAGATAGTTTACCAATAAAGGATACCCTACATCAGAATAATCCAACAGACTTTGGGAAATGAGGTACATCAAAAAGCAACAGCAAAGCTACTGGGTTACAGGGTGTAGTGCTGAGATTGATTGACAGCACAATTTTGTGCATCCAGTGCAAAACATAACACAAAAGAACAAGAACAGCATCTACTGCAAGAGAGTGTGATTAACGCCTATCGTGGGCGGATCCAGTCATTCGCATTCTCGGTTAAGGGGAGACGCGGGTCGAAAAATCGCGTTTTTTCCGGAAATTTTCACTTTTTTGTTTTCAGTCGTATTAGATTCTTTAAACATTCATGTTTACCAGAAATAAATTTCAATCGGTAATTCGTGTCAGAAGTTACTGAAAAATGCGCTCAAGTAAGCCCCGGAGACCTAGAAAATTGCTGAAATCTGCCGAAATCGACGTTTTGCCGGCCCCGGTATCTCGAGGCAGCGGCACCGTGCGCCATTTGTAATCACTGAGGTGGTTAGAGTTCTCCATGCTCTCGCGAACGCAGGCTCGAAAAGTCTCGTCCGAAAAGAAAAAAATACTATAAAAAATCCTTTTTTGAACGCCCCTGCGTGCCGTTCAAATCGCGCGGCGCGTCACGTGGTGCCGTAGCGAGCGCGCCATTGGCTAGCGCAGTGCCCGCTTGTCCCTTCGGCCCTGCTCTGCATCGCAAGCTGAACTTCGCAAGGATTTATTCAATTATTTACGCGATGAGTCCTGCCAGAAAGCAGGTGTACAAGGTGAAAAAGTACCGGACGATAAACAAGTATGTGGGAAAACGTCGTAAAGTGCGTCGTCAGACTGCGGCAAAGGTGAACAGCCCGGAGAGGTCTAGGCCTAACCCCAGCGTCGGCAACTATCGCGACAGTGACTTCGCCGGCGGCCTCGACGCTGCCGCAAACTTCGTCAGCGCGTAACAAAAAAAACTGGAGTTTTTTTAGAAGAACCAAAGGCATGCGCATGATGGCGTATCATCAGCAGTGCTGTGCGACATCGATGCGATGACGGCACTTGTGGGCGGAGCGGAGTGCCCGTCTTGCCGTGAACGCAAACTTGTTGTTCGCGAGGTGGCAGAATGGCGCAAAGGACTGTCGTCCTGTCTCGAGTTGCGGTGTGAGAACAGTGAGTGCGCGTCTGGTGTTCTCTCTTCGACACATACGTCGAGGCGTGTTGCCTCCGGCGAAGCCGCCGCAGCATCTGACGACTGCGCGGAGGTGGGGCACTACGGCAACGGCAGCTCGCGCGATAGCTTCGCGGCTAATGTGAAAGCTGTTGTAGCCTTGCGTGCCATAGGCATCGGACATGACCAGCTTTCGCGGTTTTGTGCGATTGTTGGACTAGCGAAGCCCATGCACCACAAAACCTTCCAGGCAATCAGCAAGAAGGTTCACGATGTTGCTATGAGGGCCGTGACCGAAAATTTGAACCAGGCAAAAGCCGTAACAAAGCAGGTGGTTGATAGTAGTGACGTGGCCATAATGTATGATGGAACTTGGCAGAAACGGGGCCATAAAAGCCACAACGGAGTCGGCGCGGCTATCTCCTTGGACACCGGCCTGTGCTTAGATTTCGAAGTGCTGTCGAATTACTGCCACGCTTGCAGTCTACACAACGACATGGGCTCTGAAGAGGAAATCTGGCAGGCCTACCACAGACCTGTCTGTGAGAAGAACACCGACAGCTCCGCTCATGGCATGAAAGCTGAAGCAGCACTACGGATATGGGAGCGCACTTTGCTGTATGAGACTCCACTTCGCTTCGCAACATTTCTTAGTGATGGCAACAGCAAAGCATATAACGGAGTTTGTGATGCCAAGGTGTACGGTGCAGGTGCCATCTGCAAGGAGGACTGCACTAATCATGTTGCGAAGCGCCTAGGCACTGGCATACGCAAATTGCCGACACCACTGCCCAGAGGTGAGAAGCTCAAGCCTGCCACCATTGAAAAGCTGCAGACATATCAGATCGCCATCACGGGCAATAGAGGCAACCTACGGGACATGTACACTGCCATATGGGCGTCCTACTTTCACTCTTGCTCCACTGATGGTGCTGGCAGCCACAACTTCTGCCCACCAGGCCAAGAATCGTGGTGCAAGCACAAGCGTGCTGAAGCAATGGGCGAGCCTGCACCAGAGCATACACCACTTCTGACAAAGGCACAGGGCCAGGCACTCCTGCCCATATACAAGCGCCTTTCTGACGAGAAGCTGCTGGCCCGATGCCTTCGAGGGAAAACTCAGAACGCTGCTGAGTCTCTCAACAGCAAGGTGTGGCTGCTGTGCCCAAAAACAAAGTTTGCTTCCCGAAGTGCTGTGGAGACTGCCACAGCCATTGCTGTGCTCTGGTATAACCGGGGCCATGCAAGCTTGGTCCTGGAGGAGCTTGGTGTTCTACCACCAGCAAGCTTGACCACCCTGGGGGACTACAGCGACAAGAGGCACATTCAGAAGATGAATGCCCAACAGACTGCTGAGGCGAGGGCTCACCGCCGCACATCGGCCAAGAGAGCTCGCCTACAGGACTCCGCTCGGAAGGACCGCGAAGGAGTTACGTGCAGTGCGGGTGAATTCTAGTCACCGTGGCCAGCTCCTGGACGTACTGCCTGTGCATTAGACACACTTTTGAGTGTTTGCAAGTGCGCCTTAATTAGTAAACATGTTTCAAACTTTCATACGTGTTTTTCTCATTTTGAAATTTTTGGCCACGGTCACATTTCACTCACATAGTTTCATCCCCTTAAAACTGTCCTATTGCGATGAAACTTGGCACACACATTCTTCAAGGTGTGTAGAGTGCCGTTATCTATTCTGATTTATGATGCATAGCCATTATCAATAAAAACATACCAAGAAATGATACAAGGAACCCTGAAAAAACAAGGAACCCTGAAGGATACAAGGAACCCTGAAATTTGGCAGATCTGTTCATTTTTTGTAGCAACAGCTTTTTTTTCTCGTAATTTTAACCTCTTAAATGCACACAGTAGTTCATGACAAGCATAATAAGCTATTACACAAACATCTACACAAAAGTTTTGATGTCGAAAAAGCGAGAAAAAAAATCCCTTCGTTTTGCTATACATGTATAATAACTTTAAAAGTAATGAGGCTACACAAAATCTGATAACAGTTTTGAAATCTACAAGAAAAAATATCTCTGTGGCTAAATTTTGGAAACCCTAACTTGAAAACTAAAGAAAAAGTGTTTTCGAGTAGCGTCTCCCCTTGATCCTCTTTGATAAAACACACAAATTGGCACCACAAAAACTCGGTCGCTGTAAGGTTGGCTGCTGCAACATCGCAGCTGCACTCACCGACATCTGGTTGGTGGTGAGGGTGCCCGTCTTGTCAGAGCAGATGACCGATGTGCAGCCGAGGGTCTCGACTGAGGGCAGGGAGCGCACGATGGCATTCTTCTTGGCCATGCGCCGCGTGCCCAGGGCCAGGCAAGTGGTGATGACGGCGGGTAAGCCCTCGGGGATGGCGGCCACGGCTAGCGCAACGGCAATCTTGAAGTAGTACACAGCCCCCTTGATCCACGAGCCACCATGAGCAGGGTCGTTGAAGTGTCCGATGTTGATGGCCCACACCGCCACGCAAATCACAGAGATCACCTGTGGAGAGACGTACAAGAACAAAGAGGTCAGCACAATGAAAGTGCAGTGCTGAGAGCAAAGTTAAAAATTGAATGTTCCTGAGAATGCACAGCACACTGGTGTTAGCAAAGCTGACAGATTCTACATTTGCTTAGTAGCCTGCAACAGTCTAGCTGATGCACTGTAAAATCTTTAATCATGAGCTTTGAACAAATCTGTTGAGTGTAAAAATGCAGGTCCTGTGCAATATTGAAATCCTCTTATCCAAACGAACTGAAAATGGGGGCAAACATAGTGAAAAATGGTGCACAAGCTCGCACAGGCAACGCCTGGATAGTACATGTATACAAAAAAAGCACACAAACCTTGGAAAGCTGCTCTCCAAATTCGTCCAACTTCTGCTGCAGTGGGGTCTTCACTTCTTCCGTCTCAGTCATTTCTGTCCGGATTTTACCTGAGAGTGGAGTAGGAAATGTTCAGCGATAGTGCTAACATCTCTGCGAGTACCATGAGTATTAGCATAAGAGTACACTGGTGAAATATACTATCAGACAATTAGCAGCCGGAAAAGGAAAGATTTTTATTACAGTCTAACCTCGCTACAACGAAACTGAAGGGGCGCAAAAAAAATTTCGTTGAAGCGAAAATTTCGTTGTGGTAAAATCGAAAAAACATAGCCGATATGAACTAGCAAAACAAAGGAACGTTTATTCTCAAAATTCAAAAACTGTCCGCTGCTTTTTATTCTATCACAACAGCGTCGCGGCGCAATTCTCACCCATGCATAGCGAGGTCATGGTGAAAAGCATGCTGAAACAATGACTACAACCGCTTTTGTGAACGAACCAAACAGTTGCATTAACACATTAACACCAGCAGCTGTCCACGGTCAAAACACCGAGATGGCAGCAGGGTATCGTGGAGCGGTGACTTTTGCCTTATTTTATGCCATTCTTATCGTCCATCACTCGCAGCTAGCTGATTTTGTTGATAATGCGGACGAACAGCCGCTCTGATTAGTTACCACACTAATCAATTAGTTAGTTACCAACAAAATGATAAGCATTGGAATCTGCAAATGCATCGTTCCGCAGATTCACCCAGAAGCTGCGCGAAGGAAACCATGAACTAACCAATTGAGCTTCAGCTTCAGGTCGTCTGCGACTATACAGTAAACCCAATCTTAAACATATTGATGCATTTTCAGAACCTGAAAATACGCCGACGAAGTCTAAAACACGCGTTGGCACCATCAGAAACCAGCACTGTTCAGCGAGCACCGGCCCCACCATTGCTCCATAGTGATAGAAATGAGACCTCTGCTTTTGCCAGTGACAAAAGCATGGCAGTCTCATTGCCATCGCTATCGAGCAATGGCGGCGCCCATGCTTGCTGAACAGTGGAGGTTTCTGGTGGTGCCAACGCGTGTTTTAGACTTCGTCGACGTATTTTCAGATTCTGAAAAGGCATCAAAATGTTAAAGATTGGGATTACTGTATAGCAATAAATATCTGAGCCTGGAATCGCATCACGAAATTTCATTGAAGCGGGACATCCAAAAAAAAAAAAAAAAAGCGTTCATTGTGGCGACAATACTTATGCATAGACTCCTATGGACTGCTGACGGGGAACCTTGAATTTTTCGTTGTAGCGGGAATTTCATTGAAGCGGTGTTCGTTGTAGCGGGGTTCCATTGTATTATTATTATTATTATTATTATTATTGGGGTTTAACGTCTTAAAACCACCATATGATTATGAGAGATGCTGTAGTGGAGGGCTCCGTAAATTTTGACCATCAGGTGTTTTTTAACATGCATTTAAATCTAAGCACACGGGCTTCAAGCATTTTTGCCTTCATTGAAACATTGCCGCTGCAGCCGAGATTCGATCCCACGACCTGCGGGTCAGCATCCGAGTGCCCTAGCCACTAGACGAACGTGGCGGGTGGAGAAGAAAAGATTATATCTCATCCCACACTACAAACAGTTATGCTACAAGTTGCCTGTGTTGTGTCATCTCGATTCTCAAACTGAAAAAACAAATGCTGAAACGGGTTAAATGTGTTTTCAGTGTACCCATCCACTAAATGGGGGAGAGAACACCTTGATTATACCACAAAACTACCTCTCAAAAGCATGCCGACATCGTAACTATACTTTTTCACACACCAATACTGTTTTACAAGCACTGTCCTAGAAATCTGTAGAACACTAAGAGATAACACGTACCAATGGCAGTTTCAAGGCCAGTGCCAACGACAATGCCAATAGCCTTTCCTGATGCAATAGTTGGTACCCTGCAAAGAAAGAAGTCAGGAGTGGTTTAACAAAGGCCCCACAAAAGAATTCAGCAGATAATTGCAATAAAGGAAATTTGTAAATGTGAGAACGGGAAGATTTTCATTACAACACAGAAAAACACTAATTGCAAGTTATTCGGCCACAAGTGTTCTTTACATGCCCGTTCACTTGATAGCAAGATAACATAAAATTGAAAGCCTGAAAGAAAAGACCTTATCCAGATGTTACTGACAGTCTTACTAACATCAGTCACGGCTATGTTACATTATATAGATGTGTTATGCCAGTACTGCACTTGCTACCATTAAGAGACACCTAAGATAATGAATCAGTTAATATTTATACATTATACTATGAGATTTCCAAAGACGTTTATTTTAACATCACGTTTTTAATAAATGAGAAAAGACCAAGATCTTCACGTGTATTGTCACGAATTTGAAATAACAGTTATCCTAATCTGGCACCAATTGTCTTAATAAAATTTCCTCAAAGTTGCTATGTCTAGGACTCCCTCCGAGGGCCATGTACTTCATTTTCACCGACTAAAGGGCCAGTCAGCAAGCTCTGATGTTTTTGTTACACACCCCAAAGAAGCTCGGCGATTCGTAGAGTAGACAATGGCGATCACTTTTCTCGAATATCAGAGTGCTGCACGCCGCTCAGAGCCTCAATTTCGAAAAACAATTTCCCCCCTCCTTTCCTACGCCTGAGCAATCTTCCTTTCACGCGCAGTGAAGCGAACTCACTGATACGCGACTTGACGTAGCGGGCAGCTCGTCGATTGGTCTAAGCCAGTTGCGACGACAGACTACGCCTTACCATCCTTGTGAGGGAGAAGAGTGGAGAGGCCGGGCAAAAATTTGAAACTAGCTGAAATGGATTTTTAACCTCTAACTTTCTTGATATAGCAGGAATTTGCAAAATTCTTGCCGCAGCATGTTCAGAAAGCAAAAGAGCACATATTTTACTTCCTAACGATTTTTGGACTTCTGGGTTGTTTACTGGCCCTTCAAGAACTACGTAGGCATTAATAGGCGCCATCAAAATATATGATGTCACGGCGAATTGTGCGGGAAATTTAAGGTGACCTCACCCCCACCTACATTTTCTTTTTTTTTATGTTTTTTCGCTCACCAAGCATTTTATCGTAGCTAGCGTGGAGTTTTCGGTACTGCGATAGAGTACTTTACTAATGCAAAAAAAAAAACTTTTGCTGTTCAGTATCCCTTTGAGGTTCAACTGTTCAGCCACTGTGGTGCGCTTCATCCCTTACATTTACGACACTACTCAAGCTTCTGCAAAGTCCTATAGACTACTTTCTGCAAGAAACCTGGGCACCGCCACATGCTGCGCTACTAAGCTGATGTTTTCTTCTTTTTGTATTAGCAGCAACCTGAATTATTCAGACCATTAAAAATCTCACATATCAGCCCAACCGTTTTGATGCATATGAGTCTGTCGTAGCACTGTTTGTTTAGTAGTTCCTGTAAAATGCCTGTAAAATACAAAAAATACCACGTGACAAACCCGCTCATGCGCCAGTGCACGCGATGATTCTAGTGCTTCCTAACGTTCCACGTACAAACGACCCTAGCATTTGCCTGACTGTGCTGTCTCGACGGGGCCGCAACAGGTGGTGGTGGCTTTGCGACGAACACGTTTTGCTATCGGCCACAAAAGCGATAACCGCTGTGACTGCTTATCGCTGTGATGAACCAGTGCGAGAGAAGTGTATATTGTTCGTGCGCGGAACGTTAGACAGCACCAGACTCAAGGCACGCGTAGGAGCTCCAGTGGTTTGTCACTGTGGTATTTTTTTGTATTTGGCCAGCATTCGTATTTGTAGTTAGCAGAAAAACACTGATAATCAACTGATATAAAGTTCAAAACTGTCTAATTGGACATTCTGCAAACCGATCTACAACTTTCTTATTCAAACTTTTTATCCATTTTTTTCATTTTAAAGTTAATTAAACAATCTAATTAAACAATATTTTAGAACACAAAATATAGTGAGACTAACTCCAGGCAACGATCAACATTATGCAATTAATCGCATGACATTTGTGTGTCGGCATGTTTTTAAATTCTGGCTAAAGATAGCCGAGGCACTCTATATACATGCAGCTTTTTCACACGCCAGTACAGTACGTGAAAGCTAATTCAATTGCTTACATAGCATCACGACTGCTACTCTATGCTAAAGCTTCAACGAGAACATCCAATGTGTGCAAAATAAGTGCGCAATGTACTTCGGCAAAGAAAGCTAGCTGGAGTCGTGGCATCTCGCCTTGTACAATGTTGGCACAGCCATCATCTACAAGGCGTCAAAAACCGTGATGTTTTACGATGTTAATTCTGCACATTAAATAGCTGCAAGCTTTCCAAGAGAGCTGAAATACTGCGAGATGACGTTAGCAGCAAATTTAACCACCAGAGAGAAAAGAAGACTGTAGTGCATACGACCAATCTCTAACCCCTTTCTGTTGTGTTCCTTTCCTAAATAAAAGTGACGGCACACATCGGTCATAAACCAGCATACGTTTATACTTGGAGCACTCAAAATAAACTGTTGAGTGAATGTAGTTTAACAAGCAACAGTGAAAATCGTAACGAAAGTGCCGCGATAAAAGTCGCTATATCAGTAGTTCGTATTATATAGACCTACCCATAAAAACATTCACATAGACGCGAAAAGTGTCTTTTTTATTATTTTTCCTGTATTAATTTATTGAAGTGCGCACAACCCCTCCGCTGACAAGTTGGGCCTTTTCGCGTGCTAAATGACACCTGTTCGTTCACGAATGAATTCAACCACATTCGCAATGAACTCGCGCCATTCCACTGAAGCTTGGTGTCACCACGTCGAACTAATCAACCCTGGCTAGTTGCGCACAGCACGTCGCTTACTCGGCTCTTGCCACCGCAAGCCAGTTCGTTTGCAGTCCTATGTTCGCGTGCGTTTGTGCTTTCTTTGTGCATGCTTCGAGATCGTGCTTGGGGGCAAAACGACACATCAAATTTTTTAGTACGACTGGTATGCGCAACTGCTCACAATAACCAGATTATGGTCGCGACCAATCTGGTCTACCAAGATAACGATGGCTTCAATTTGCCCGTTCGAGACATATTATTCCATATGGCTCTAACTAAGAACGGTGGAAATGAATTATATGTGTTACTCAACTCTACATTGTCCTGTTACAATCCGCGAGTACAGTACCTTCACATGCAGTGAACACCCTCTGTCTTCAGAGCAGTAGGAAGAAGAGATGCACGAAAAAGGTATGCACAGCACAAAAAGGCAACCACTCACCGAAAACAGAATGTTCTTCTTGTCCTGGTTGACAGCACGGGGGTCTGGAATTGCGTCTGTGTGTTTGATGACCGAGACAGACTCTCCGGTCAGGATGGACTGGTCCACTCGTAGGGTTGTCGAATGAATCTTCATCAACCGGATATCGGCAGGGACCTTGTCACCAACTGTTTTTGCAGGAATAGACATGAAAGTTGCATCAGCTCTGAAGTCATCCTAGGTGTACATCCTGATGACTGCATAAGTATCTTTATATTCACTGCTGGCACACGTATGCACAATGTTGACGAGAAGTAGTTGGCCTTCCAGGTTCAGGAACCTTCTGTCATTGTGCGATTCTAACATGTACCAAAACACAGATCCTCGCCAACAATTGATAACTGATAATCATCATCATGCTCATTGTCCTGATTACACCCACTGCAGGGCAAAAACCTCTCCCATGTTCCGCCAATCACCCTGGTCATGTGCTTTCTACTGCCCCAATATACCTGATACCTTCTTAGTACATCTGCTCACCTAACTTGCAGGTGATCGTAGCCTATTGGTAAACAACACCACAAATGTTTTAAACAATGCTTGCAATCAAAACAGAATTGTCAATGACCTTCAAAGCAATGAACCAATATAAACTGTTTACAAAGGACACTTTCAAAGTCAGCGTTTTCCAGTGTTTAGAAAAGATCTTTAAAAAGTTGATAGAACATCTATACATAGGTGCGAGAAACAAACTCAATGAAATGTGAAAAGATTGGCACTCAAAATTGACGAAACTAATACAGAAAAGCCGAGAAGAGAGAGAAAAAAAAAAGAAGCATTGACTGCTGCTCACCGGACACCTCCACAAGATCTCCAGGGACGATTTCCTTGGCACGAATTTTTTGGACACCCTGTTTGTTGGCCCGTATAACTTTGCCCATCTCGGGCTCGTATTCTTTGAGCGCTTCTATCGCGCTCTCCGCATTACGTTCCTGCAGAGAAGAAAAGCGCAGAGAACTGTTAGGCAGTTGCAAGGTTCATAAGAACATGAAGTGTAGACACAACCTGTCTGAATTTGTAGCACGATGCTTCTGATGAATTATGCAGCACCAGACACTAAAACACGACTTTTCGGAGATAATGGCAACAACGAAATACTTCACAACTGTGGAGATTAACACAGATATTGAAGGCAGTTTATTTCGAACTGCAAGTTAGACATCAGTGAGCAGTTACATTATCTATTATGACAAATATTACAAAGAAGTTAACAAGCATATATAATTAACTTCTTTAAGTTTGGCTACTATAAGATTTCCAGAATGCCAGCTTTCAATAACCGCTGATCATGGACAACTCTCCATGCACTTGTCCATCAGAAACCAAAGTGCACATAAGCGTGCTACCATGAAATGGCACACATGGCACACATGTGCTGCAGCACGGCAGCTTACATTCAAGCTTCAAAGAACTGCCGCAGCACATAGTAAGGTTGCGCTTGCTTTTCAGGCGAAAAATGAAAATCCCATAATCCATCTTCACGACGCCAACAAGCATGCGCATCTCTCGTTATCGCCCTAAAATGACGCAAACATTTGATGAGAGCATTCCACTCACCTGCCACACGCCGACAACGGCATTGGCAATCAAAATGAGCAAGATGACAAAAGGTTCAACAAAGGCTGTGATGGAGTCTTCATGCTCCTCAAATAGCGCCAACACCTGCGGGAACACAATGGGAGAATCGTACACACAAACCTGAGCCCACCTGCAAGACAGCTAAACAAGGGCAATAATCAATGCCTACACTTCAAGACCCTGCATTCATTCAGGTTCCGCTATTGCTTTTGGCCTTCCAACTTGTTGTGGGGTTCAGGTGTAAGCACCAAAGTCCTAAGGAGAGCTTGCTTTTTGCTTCACGGAACGAAGAAAAAAGTGCTTTTGATCACTTTGTGTGCGGATAATTACACAAGCCGAAGTACAGAATTAGGCCTTTTACGTTTGTGACATAGCAAGATTTGGCAGTAGTTTTAAAAATTCACACCCCAATTGTAAACTAGAAAAAATTGCTCACGCTATTATGAAGGTCACCAAGTAAGGCCATAAGAAGATATTTAAGTCAAGCGATCAACAGCACATGCACAGGGTACATTTATAGACACGCGTGGACCATCAACAAGCAGCCGGAAAAAAATTACTGAGCGACATATAGTTGACATGTTTCAATCAAATCATTGATTTGATTAAAGCTGTTAATCCAATAAGCATAATCTGTTCAAAGCTAAGGGGAAAATTTTTTTTATGAAATTGTTTAAAAAACTTGAAGATGTATATATAGCTTGCCTGTCTTTTACTTGTGCAACAGGATGTGCAGCAAAAGCTGACACCTTGCTTCTTATGCTGTTTTACGTGTTTTACGTTGCTTCCCTCCCAAGTCGATATCTCAAAGGCTGTTTTGTATCTAGGTGAAATTTTTTTTCCTAAACACACTACTGCCTACAAATTTCAGCAGGTAAGCGGCTACACCAGATCTGATGGAGTGCACCACTGTGAGGCTTAGCCTCCAGCTTTACCGGCACTCACTTACGACTGCTCGGCACACATTCCCACAAGTGCAGTCGCGAACCGGTTGTGCTGGACTGGTAAACCTGCCTGCCATTCCTTCTTTACCATCTCTCTGCCCCGCAATTGCGCCTTCACAACACGAAACCAGTCACTTATATGAAACACCTTAGCATCTTGCACAGTGGTTGCAGTATCAACTACGTGGTACTGCACAGCGGAGAGGCGTATGTCTACTGGGAAATCAAGTGAAAAAGAGAAAGCGTTGACCACTTACAAATGAAATAACAGCAGCTAATAATAAAATCTTCACTAGAAGGTCGTCAAACTGTTCGAGTATAAGTTGCCACAGGGGCTTTCCTGAATGAAAGAGAAGGGGGAAAAAAGGCAAAGCATTAGCCCACACCACATCTGGCAAGCGAAATTCACAACAGGAACGCTGTAGGCTCAAATGCCATCGCAGCTCTGTTCAGGCTAATGAACTATCAAAATTTATGGAGTTCATTCTCAACATGTCTAAGTAGACATAATTATCTGTGCCTATCCTTTTCCCATAAATGATGATTAGCCAACAGTAATCAATAACAAACCAACTTGTGAGCTTTCAATGAAGATGTGTAAAAGTATCCAAGTAAATGAAATATTAGTGCTTCGAGTGAATATGCAGAGTGAATATGCAGAAAAAGAAATAAATTGCACAAATACTAAATGGTATTAGGAAAGAAAAACTCACCCTCTTCTGCAGGTAGTTCTGCAATGGTGGAAAGAAAACCATAGAATTAAACAACAGTCAATAATATAAAAATGCACTTTTTTGTAACACATAATAATGCGCAAAAACAATTCCCAAGATGGTCTGTAGTAATATGCAGTAACGTCTCAACTGCACTGACAATTACCACGTGACAAGTTGCATAACTGACTTACAGGAAAAGAGAGCTGGAGAGTATACACAACAGAAACAGGGTTGAGCCCTCTTAAAAAGAAAGACTGTCCCTTGCTGCCATCACTTGCAAGAGCCACTAATCTGTGCACAGTCATACTGCCAGCACCTAAGCAGCCTAGCAGCTTGCTATCATAGATTGAGACACGATGTGAGAACTAAATTACCTACATGTTGCAAGCCTCCTCTTTGATTGACAAATGTTGGAATATGAAAGTCGGCAAAGGTTTACTATCGCCATGTTAATCTAATAAAAACATGGACAGACGCAATAGTGAACTGAATTTCACGATGACATTTTTTTACACAAAGAGGTTAGAACAACCCTAATTTTTGCACTATACAAAAACAATAACCCTTAACAATATCTAAAACATAAAATATGGCAAGAAAAGCGGTTCTTATGCCTATAAATCTGCATATCGGTTACGCTATACACACACGCTATAACACCTTAAAGGAACATTTAAGCAATTTTTTAACGTCCACTGATGGCAATAAAGGTTCCGATCCACTTTTCTATCCCATTTTCTGTGTAATCTTTACCAAACTGTACAATTGCAAGTCATCTAGTTCCCACGAGAACAAATTTTAAGGATTTTACGGCAAGTTCCTTCATCATACATGTAGACCACCCTGTGTTTATGACATGTCCTGCACTGCAAACTCGCAGAGCAGCCAGTCAAATCACATGGCGATCATCCCTTGCCCAATTCACCATTAGAAATTGCCATTGTGAGGTTTTGAAAAGCTGGCATAGCTCTTTCGCATGGCCCAATTGTATTGCCAGTTTCTCTTTTTCTCGTGCCAGTACCATATGTACGGTGTCTGCATTACAGTAGAGCAAGCTGGCACGTCACAGTAGACATTGCATGAAGCAGCTACCCATCCACGTTTAAATTTTGACCCATTCCCTTTTTTTTTGGTTATGAAACATTACTGATGAATTACAATGCAAACTGAACCACCCACTTATCACAGGACTGTGGATATCACTTTAAAATGGCCATGTCAGTTTATTAGTTACAAAGACACCAACGTTTCCCTTAAACAAAACGCTGCACTTACGCTTCTAGTAACCAACCCTTAGGTAGACTAAGATTTCTCAGCAAAGTTTAGCTTAAAATAATAGCTATATGCAGTTCAGCCAACATACCGTTACAATTCCTTCTTGCTCGACCAAACAATAAATAAATAAAAGCACTACTGAGACAGCACAGGACACAAGGTGGACGAAACTGCACTGAATCTCAGAAACGCATGCCCTACCACAAGCAGTGTGGTGGTTTGTGGGTGTCTAAGGGTGTGTACGTGCCTCAGCCAGCTACAAAGTTTTTTTGTGACATCCTACTCCCGCAACGTACCCCTGCCAAAAAAGTCGTGACGGTGCACATGCAGGTGTGCACAGAGAAGGCGTGTGTTGTGGTGGTAACGTGCGCCTCCTGTCGGGCTTTTTGTCGCACTTACGTAGCTCTCAACGTGGCCAGCCTCTGTACACCACCGAAGTCTGCCCACGGGCGAAGAGAAAGTGTTTTAAGGGAAGTGCATGCCACACGTCACTCTGTGCGGTCTTAGGCGTAGCCAATCTTTTCACGCGACTCGAACCAAGACAATCGGTGCCCTATGGTCAATCGTGACTGTTGGAATAAGAATCCTAGTTTTACACATTGCCTTGTGTTTTCTGGCATGTAATTAAAAGGCTAATCAGCTAACTCAAATGTAATTTCAAAGAGGGATTATTCCTCTTGGGCAACTAGTACTGCACAATGGTTTCTAGAGCAGTAGAACATGGTCGTAAAAGCAGTAATAAAAAAGTACTATGAAGCATTGATGGTCTTTTGTCTCAAAGTATCATTTAGGTGTTTCTAAAAACGTCTGCAAAATAAAAAAATAAAAAAAAATGTCCCTGCTGACTTTCATGTATTGTTAGCCACAACTTCTATAGTAGTCTCGTATAATGTACCGAGCAAGTCTGCTGCGAGATCAGCATAAATTGTTGTGACATGTGATGTATGCCCCTTGCATATAATTTTGTATACGCCAATAATCACTTTAAAAATGCAAAACCACGAAGAAATACGACAGAAGAAAAGGCTACGTAGTAATACGCCATTTTCTAAGACAATGGGGCATAAACAAGTTCTGCCAACAGGCAGCATTGCACGGCAAATGTATCCCTAGAGAAACGTGTCATCTGCTAAACATTTTGTTAGCTTCCCTAAAAATCTAATCACAGCATGTTTCTGGGTCACTTAGGTACAGAACACGTACATATTGCCTCGGCAAGTCACAGGCTATGCGAGTAACCAAAACGCAAACACGAGCATCAAATTAATTCCCATACAAAGGAGAAAATGTTGAATTATGTACACCGAAAGTGTTTAATTACAGATTATAATGGCACACGACTCTCCCATTATTACTGACAACCCACTGAACGCATTCGTTTTCAAGCATTCTGTATGGAAAATGATCTCGACGATACCACCTCTGAAAGTGACCCCAGCACAATTCGACAAGCTTTAAATACATTTTCTTGGTATAGTGATGCAAGATTTCTTTTTATTTATTAAGATCTTTTATAATGTAAAGTGTTGCACATTCTTTTGGTTAACGTGCTATAATCTGCTCTTTGTGTCTTGTTAACTAATAATGATTACATTACTCATTTTCTTAGGAAGTATTTTGTCGTTACTATTAATGTGCACTTAGTGTTGTTCATTACTAGCTTACTTCTGATTTCAATGTAACCCCCCCCCCCCCCTTGTGAATGTCTCCAGGCATTTATTGGGGGGGGAGGGGGGGTATTCAATAGGTATTCTTAAATAAATAATCAAGTAATTGAGGAAGAAACATGTTATTATGGTAGCTATTTGCATGAAATAAAGACAAGAGACGGAGAAGTAGCTACCGGCTCTCGCCTTCATTTCGCGCAAACAGCTATCGTAACAATGAACCGATTCGCCCAACAAGTCGCTCTACTGAAGAAAAATCAACTGTTATACGAATGAATGGAAGAAACAAACTCACCGTTGGGACCATACTTGTCCTGTAGTTTTTTGACCTGGGACTCTGTGAGGCCCCGCTCGGGGTCTGTGCCGAAGTAGTCCAGCACCTCCTTGGTGGTCTTGGTGTGTGCCTGCTCCATGGTGCCCGCTCCTCCTCAGCCGGGCCCCGCTGCTCAAGTGCTGGCCTCTACTGGCTGCTGCTGCCCGCCCGTCTGCGGCCCCCTCTGCTGTCAATACTGTGGAAGGAGAGCGGAGGAGACGCCTATCGGTACTCTATACAAACACCCACAAACTCTAGCGCGGAGCAAGGCAAAGCTGATACACAGTTAAGGGAGTTCTTAGTTGTACCGCAAACTTTTTCCAAGTTTCTACAAAGCAGATAGGGTGGTGGTGCCACTTTGTGATGCCGAGCCCACACAGAAAAAAAAAAAATGCTATTATTGCAGTAATCATAGAGTTGCTTATAAATACACTAGAGGGAAGTCTGGTGCTAGCATCTAGGGGAGCTGCATTGTGCCATGCTTCAGCCAGCATAAGAATGATGGGTTGTACACTAACTTGTCTAAATCTCCCTACTTTTGGCTTTGGCTTCAAGTGGATTGGAGCTGCTTTTTCAGGCGATGACAATTGGCAAATGTTCAGCGGTTGCACTTCACCGCCTCAACCTTTTAGGCTCACCAAGTAGATGGGGGTCCCGAAGTTCACAATGGTGTGTTCTTATATTCAACAAAAGCAAAGCACAATATTAAGCAAAGCCACAAGTGTGCTCAAAGCCTGCAAGCAAAAAGACTAGGCAAATTTGTGTACTACCTATCATTCCCATAGTGGCTGAACGATCACAGCGTCAGAGTCCCCTCTAGCTAACTTTAGGAAACTTTATGGCAGTAGCTCAGTAGCTACCTTGTCTCTGGCAAATATTTTGAGCAGCGTTTTTAAACCTCTTTTCAGTTAGAACACTCGGAGAGCAGTAAAAAGACTGGTTTTACAATTTCGGTTAGGCAAAGTACTACAACACGTCACTGCCAGTAATCACTGTTACGCTAATGTCATGGTGCACATAACACATGCAAAAGTTCTCTGGAAGCAGGGATACTATGCAAACAAACATGAAGGCTTGCTTTCAGTCGCGCAGGGCTCTTAAAAACGAAGGAGAACCAACTGCTTCGTGAAATAACAGGTGCAAAAGAATACATTTAGTCTCGCACCCAGAACCCAGAACCTGCTCGTAGATATGGATGTTGACGGCACCGTTTTCGATTTCACCCTAGTTTCAGACCCGAGACTCTCTCTGGACGTACCTTGGTCAATTGCTTCAAACGACAAATAACACTACTCGCGTGCAGAGTTTTGCCACATATAGCAAGCCAATTCTAATCCACTCTTTATGAGAGTTTGCACAGTCTGAGCAAGCTGCGGTGAAACATTGCATCAGAGTTTCAGGCAACTGACGAGGTGGTTAGACTATTAAGAGAGCTGTTTCTTGCTTTCTACGTGCAGAGACACAGAGGGGCATCTTATTGGTGTGAATACGAACACTCACCTTCTGCATCAATAATCTACATGATTATCGAGCTGCCACCAAATAGTCCCGAGTGTATGTCCCTTTGCTTTCGTTTATGGCTTAAATGTCGCAGGGACACTTCAATTTCTGAAAGATATGCGCCATAAACCTTTCGGGCACCTCTAATCACAGAGCGTGCAATTCTCGAGCCAAATTTAGTAAACCGGAGCTAGCGAACGCTCCCCAGTCTGTCAGTTAAATAAGTGAAAAGGCAGTCATAAGTGCAACTGTCCACAGTGCGCTCAGGACGGGTCCACAAATCGCATTAAGCGACTTCCTCATTGACGTCCCCAGGAACCATTGTCTCCGGCGGCGTAACGAAGGCAAAAAAATAAAGGAAAAAGGCGGCCGTGAGCTGTTTTCTCTGGTACGTCGCTACCTCAACTCGCGCCATCGAAGGTTCGGGAAAGTAAACAATTGTTCGATCATGATTCCTTCTTTTCGCCGAGCGGCTGTCCTTAGCGGCCATGAAAACGTAATAAGCTACCAGAAATATCCGCCTATCTTATTCCGTTCCTTTGGCGCATGACCAACGCTGCGCGAGCATCACTTTTTTCAATTAAATGTTCCTCCTCTTAAGCTCGACGTCAGCGTTTGCGTCACTCAGGTCGTTTGCGTCAGGTCGCGTGTAAAATGCGAGGAGCGCTTTACGTCCGTTCGCCACACACACCTTTCAAGTTTCGTTTTTTTTTTTTTTTTTGTCCGCACGCCGACGGTCAGCCTCTCCTGTCGGTCGGGTGAACAAACTGCACACCGCGACTGTATCACGAGAATGTTCTAACCACGCGGTTGGTCAACCTGCTATAGAGCGAACGAGCGAGTTCTCCGAAATGATCAGTCGAAATGTCGCGCAAACCACGAGGGACTGCCGAGTCCGAAAGACACGACGAAATATCGGCAACGTTTTCGCTCATCGAGCTGGGGCGCTCGGTGCTGGCATTCGCACAACCGAGCAGGCGGAAGACGGGGGAAACAAACTAATAACGAAAGAAAATCCCCCAGCACGAGTCACGCGACGACACCATGGTGAAATATTGACGACCTAGGAACGACGATCGTAATCCCGTTGAGACTCGCTCGTTCGCAGAGTGCGAGAATCCAGTTATGTACTTTTTTTTTTCCCCTCTATCTAGCTAGCGCTCGCACAAATCCATGCACTAAACTCAAAAGCGCACGGTCAGTTAACGCTCCAAAGAACATCACGACCTGTATGCAAATCTGTAGATTCTCTTCGCAGGGCAAGCCAGAAAAAAATGTACCCGTAGCTACGCACACGAGTCTCTGAAGGAATCTTTAACGATGACTTTCAGAAGTCGCGATGTCTGTCCGAGCAAATACTTTTTCTCGAATCTATATACGGCGAGCATGCACTAAACTACGTTCTTAATACTGCATGAACGTCACACGGCCACAAAAACTGGCGATAACGAGGGTGGAACGGCAATAAAAAAAAGAGGGCACTCCGAAAGGGAAGCCCCCGTGCACAGCGTTTTAGGCCTAGACAATTCATCCGCAAGTGCCGGCGTCGCACCATTCAAGGTTTCGGCTGCGGCGCACGGCGAACAAGGGCCTCGAAGAGCTCGGAATCGATGGCACAACGGTCACAGAATATAATGTGCACCTCTAAAGAATGTTCGTACGTACCATCGTACCATTTAAATGCTGTAGTCAGTCCTGCTTAAGTTTCCGTGGCGCGGTGCAGATGACAGGCGAACACACTCAACAAAGTTCATGTGGATTACGGCCATTGGACGTGGCGTCACCACGTGGACGCCGGAACTTCCTCTCTGTGGACTACGACGCAGGTTACGTCACGTCCGGAGTTTTGTGGCACGTGGTTTATCGTCGCACGATTGCGCTTGCGAAGTTGCGCCTCGCGCGCGTCGTTTGTTCTCGCGTTTTTTGCGGAGTTCTTTTTCGGGATCGCTCTTTTCTTTTGCGCCGCTTTGTTCGATCGTCGGAGAACTTGGCGGGAGCAGCGGGACTGACTGTTCCAGTGGAGGACGTCCGCTGGCTAGAAGCGCATCGTGTCAAAGTTTTCTCTCTCTCTCTCTCTCTCTCTCGTGTCAATTCTGCAACGACGTAAGCTCCATCCGAGTGGACGTATGCCGATGTATTGCGCCCACTATAGAGACCTGTACATGGCGCTACGCCTGCAGATGTTGTTGCTCTCACGTTTCGAAATATCCAGGCCGCGTACTTGCAGGCATATCATTGCTGACTGATTGCCTGTCAGGCTATGGTAAAACGGAATCCCACAGAGAGCGCGCGCATTCGTGGTAGCGTAGGTTGCGGCGGTGCCTGCATTGCGGACCCTGATATGAGCGCGTGTTTCTGTCGCTTTTCAGCTTTATTGGCGGACTGTCTCATTTTCCTTATCTCTCCCGTGTCGTACATTGTACATTTTCGTACCCGTTAAGAGTCGGAATGTCCTAGTCCAGCAAATAGGCCCGATCAGCGCCTCCTCTAAAAAAATAGAGGAGGCGCTGGCTCGATTGAGCAAGTATTGAGTCACGCAACTTTCTATATTCCGTGTCTCTGTTCCATAATACAACGTGATTATACAAGCTTGATGTCATATGTATTTTCCCGATAAGTTTATAATCGTAACGTCAGCGGTAACGCCGGTAACAATTTATAGTGCATGCCTGCATACTTTTGGCCATTATATTTCTATAAACCTCATATTTATTCTTCGGTGAGTAGCTTAACGACTCTAAAAATGAATTTATTGGCCATCATAGATGCGATAGATTTCCTCCCTTGTTAAAGGCCTGTTTAAACTCACAGAAACCCGTACATCGGCTGAGGTATCCGATAACTTTGAACCTTCTACCCATCTGGAGTAGCGTTAGTGGTCATGATCGTTAAAGAGATTGATAAAGGAAGCTAACGATGTCTGGTAAGGATTGTATATAACTTTCAACGTTGATCAGAAAACTTCATTTATATGCCTTTCGCTTTCTCACAAGAACCGCTCGAAGCGCGATAGAGCGGTCCTTGTTTTTCCTACATGTGTTCTCAATTTGTCATGTTTTCTCAATTTGTCATCCTAATTGCTTGCCTGCACACGTTTAACGACAGCGCAGGCGCACAAGCATCGTTATCTTCAACGCGTCATTTTCGTTTGTTTATCTCTCCAAGTTATTTGGAGAAATTCCGCTCCATATCTAGATACCAGTATCCCCTACATAATCCAGACTGCGTGGTGCTGAAAAAAAAAAAAGATAACAACAACAGTGGCAACCACGACGCGGTTTCCGCTCCTGTAATCAATTCCGGCTGTTTCGTATCTATATATAGAAGCGTGAGGCTTCGCGATCGGCATCATTACCTACTTCGGGAGAACAGTCTCTGAAGCCGCGATTTCTTCCAAAGGAGGGCGCCTCGCTCATTGCCACGTGTCTTGTAAATGCCGGAAATTCAAATGAAAATAAAAGAAAAACTAAAATGAAGGTCAGACGTTCCCAGTACGGAATGGCAACTATTCGTTTGAGCTGCACATCGTGCTTCGCAATCGCATTTCTTCTAAGCGTATACATATCTGCACACATGCAAAGAACTGAAGTCCATTCCATGAGGACATATATATATATATATTAATATATATATATATATATATATATCTATATATATATATATATATATATATATATATATATATATATATATATATATATTATATATATATATATATATATATATATATATATATGAGCGAATGCGCGTCGCGAAACCCGCAAAGTGCTGACGAATCTATCAAGAAATAAAAAAAAAAAGACGGAGAGGGAAGCGTGAGTAAGTGTGCACACTTGCGGCTTCAGCACAGCACACGCAAAGAACCACGAAAGGCGTTGCATACGGCTTGCGTGAATAACGTTACGTTGTTAGCTACTACGTGAAACAGGCAGAGAAATTTGAGTCCACAACATCGGAGACATTGTATACACGTGAATGTACATATGGTAACAGTTGCTTTTTGGGAGAACACTACTTTCGGGGGATTTTAGTTGACCGACGAGCATAAGCGTGCGCAGAGTTCCCATTCAGGACAATTGGGGGGAGGGGGGGGTGAAAGTTTGTCGTGGCTTCCTCTCTTCCCTGCACCCCTCCCCCCATGCGCACGGCTATATGCCGATAAGATTTTACCGTTCCGAAGGGGGTGACATGAGATAAGCCGAGGTGTAATGCAGTGAATTAGTATACTATATCTCTCGGGAATCCCATTCACGTTCCGTATACAGTTAGCGAGCGCTCTTTCTTGTTATTTCGTGACGTGGACGCCTTGGTGAATTCCGCCCCGTCAGGTGCGCTACTACAAATCCGAATTTTCTGCATAGAGGAAGCGCCTAATCAAATAGTATAATCGAGACACGTCAAGTCCCAGAATTTTGTAAAACAAAATCGATACCTCGATTCTCCATAAAACATTTGGGAGTACTCTATCACAGTATCTCCTAGCGTCCGCGTTTTTTTTTTTTTTTTTGGTATACCAATAAATCAAACAATGCTTAAGCAGGGCATACTTGTGACTCATTTTGAGCCAGCCTCTGACATTACGCGCGAAGAGAACCCACGATTGAGTTTGTCGTGTAATTTTTCACCAGTCGCTCAATTTCTGTTCATAACAAGCTCTTCAAACACCCCTATTTATCACGCCGTTTTCGGGATGCGTCACCTTGGCTGCCTCTACAAAATGTTCAATGACATTCCGAATAACCCGGTGACCCGTCTCCATTCTTTACACCAGCGGGTGGATCACAAATTGTTCGTAGCTTCCACAGTTTCCCCACAGCGAACTGCAACCGGGTGTCTTTTTGAAGGATGTTGCCTTATCGATTCCGGAGCCATATATACACGGTGGATTACGGAATCTCAATGAGATAACGAGCAAGGAAAGACCGTTTGCGGAAGGCGCGTCGTAAAAGAGCTATACTTCGAGCGCTCGTGTGTCCGCCAGCTCCGAGCTGCTTGACGTTGAGACTGGGCTGGCTGACAGCCAATACAATCAAAGGGCGTCGTGAGACGATCACGTCGTTCATCTTTTCATCGCGGCCTGCTCCGCAATGAAAACACCAATCCGCTATACAAGGCGGCTGACGTCACAGCTCCTTGCTTTTGCGTCATCGATATAGAAGGGGCTGCCCCAAAGAGCAGAGCTGTGCACACACGTGTGTGTCTGGTCTTATACGTTGACGCGACAAAGTTGCTACCTTTGTTTTTTTTTTTTTGTGTCGCTCGAAGCTAAATGATCGCAAGAAGCCCTCGAAGCTAATGATCGCAAGAAGCCCTATGATATATATAGAATAATATATATATATATATATATATATATATATATATATATATATATATATATCCTATATATATATCATATATATATATATTAATATCTATATACAGGTTTGGTTTGCAAACCGACTGCCAGTGATGGACGGAATTCGAGAAAGTGTACTTCGCGCAGACTTGGCAGGTTTGTCGTCGGATGGCATCTTATTTCGAAGCCGAGAATAATCAAAATAGATCCGCTGCTCATTCGTTGCAAGGAGATAGACACTGTACACAAACAAAACCGTATATCCAAGGACGTACAGGGAGGCCCTGAACATGCAAGTGTGCAGTCGTCAGCAATACGAAAGGAAGCGATAAATCTTGGAAGTTCGTAATGTCTGCGGTCGCATTCTTCTTTCGCGTGGTCAACAGAACACTTAGATACGCTAGCAAGAAACTGATAGTATTTTAAAGAAGCTTTTCCCAAGTGACTTCTGTATTTATCATCATCATCATCATCATCATCATCATCATCATCATCGTCGTCGTCGTCGTCGTCGTTATTATTATTATTATTATTATTATTATTATTATTATTATTATTATTATTATTATTATTATTATTATTATATTATTATTATTATATCTGGTGTCACCATCGTTGCTGTTAGTATTTGCTGAATATGAACACCGGTCAAACGGAAGGACAGTATATCTATTGTGCAAACAATTAATTTTTTCAAGAAAGAGACACCATGAGAGGCACGCAGGAAGCCAGCAAGGAGAAGTAGCGTGTTCTTAACAGGTCGGGACAATTTTAGCAAACGTGCACACGGGGGAGACGTACAGCGACAGCGCATTAATTGGACGTCCGCCATACCCAATAAATTGGCCGGCTAATTCTCGAAGGTATATATTTAGCTCCGTCGCCCGCTTCTTCCGTGGCGCGCGCAATAACTTGCGCTACACGGCCGCGGAAGTCGACTGAACGAAAACGGAAATCGTGTTGCGTACAATGCAGTAGAGTATAGTGTAATTAAATGCCAATAAGTTAACGGGAGATGGCTACCACCGCTGAACGACCAGATTGATAGGCGAATTTCAGTATATGTTGCCCCACAATACCGACACAAATAAAGCAGTGAAACGACGCGCTTGAACCAACTCGACAGACAACAGTTTACAATTGGAAAAGTACTTAGACTGTGGGCACATTCCGATATAATCAAAGGCGTGCAGTTAGCACCCTCCCGTGATTTTTTACTGAACACAAATTTAACTAACTGTCTTTGCATCATATTATACCTTGCCACTATTTGTACGGACTGTATCCACAATGTAATGACAATATATGAGCTGGACTACGCCCATACATACTGTGCTTATTCAAGCGTTATAAGCCGTACGGCAATATATTATACGTGCTGCCTCCGATTAGTTTTTTTCTTCTTATGTTCTTAATTTATCATAATTTCGCCGGGTCTAACGTAGCCTACCTTCCC